CAAGATATATAACTACTCTGCCATTCACAATCAAGAGATCACTCATAAATCACAGACATCAATCATCGATATTATCAATTCATTCATCCTACGACTAAAAAATAGAAAATTAAATTTTTCATTGTCCTCATTGATCATGTAACCATCCAACCCCCCTATCCTAATCCATAGGAAGATTCACGCCCACCAACTTAAAGAGATCCGTTAATTCGCTTTTGATTCGAGATATTAGACGCCTAATGGTGTGGTGATACAATTTACAGCCTTCTGCGCTGCAAGTTGAGTCATAATAACCCATTAATAGGTTTACAACTCCTCCTTGATAGCATGACCAGCCTTTTGTGCTGCTTCACCGGCACGATTGGTAGCATAGGTAGCTCCCTCCTTAACAGCATCGGCGGCCTTCTCGCCTTGGTAAGAAGCTTGCTGTTTACCGGAGGCAGCACCGATAGAGAGTTGGTTTATAACCCATTGTGCACCGTTAGAGAGCTTAGCCCAAAGAGTACCTTGTGGTGTAGTGGTGCCTGAGTATCGTTAGCGGTCAATCAGATTCAAGGAATGTCAAATTTTCTTACCATATTTGAAGTAGTTGGCTTGGTTACGGACAAAAGCAACAAGTTCATTCTTGGTACTTCCTTGTGGGACAGGAACACCATAGCTGTCAAGATAAGCCTTCAAGTCGGAATCGGACCAAGTCTCGAATGTAGCATCCTTAGCAGCATCGGTTTGCTGAGTGAGATAAGATGTGACGCTAGCATATGCAACACCACTGGATTTGGATGCCTGAGCATAAGAATCTTGTGCAGCACGAACGAGCTCATCACGGGTAGCTCCAGACTTCTCCGCTGCTTTCTTAGCAGCAGCATCACCAGATGAAGCTAGATAAGCCTTCAAATTGTCCAAAGTCCAGGTGTCAAAGGTCCAAGCAGACCATCCTGTAGCAGCCTTGTGCTTGTGTAAACGGACGGCAGCAATGATATCGTCTTTCTTTCCAGATGATGGAACTGGAACACCTCTGGCATCAAGATAAGCCTTGAGGCGGGATTCGCTCCATGATCCAATGGCAGCATTGAAAGCGTCTTCAGCCTTTAGTTGAGCATCATCAGTAGCCTTGGCATACTGATTTCCGGCAGAGCTAGTGGCAGCACCGAAAGCAGATACTCCAGAAGAGCTAGCCTTGCTTGCAGCGCTCTTAGCAGAAGCTGCAGCAGTGTCTCCTACAAGTTGAGCCTTGTGTTTACGAGCGATAGCCAACAATTCATTTCTCTTGCTTCCTTGAGGAACCTTAATACCATTCTTGTCGGCCCATTCCTTAATTTCTGTATCTTGTTAATTGTCTGGTCATTGGAGAAGATGATACAGACTTACGAGAATCAGACCAGGCACTGAGAAGCTGCTCACTCAATGTCTCTGTAGCAGCAGAAGCTGAAGCAGAGGCAGATGATTGAACATCTGCAGTTTTGAGACTGGCAACACGCGCATTACGGCGTACACTAGCAATCAACTTGTCACGAGTGGATGGTTGAGGTGCTGGAATGCCATGGGTATCGAGAAATTCCTTGAGATCTGTGACAATATTAGTGTCTGTGTAGATAAATGTGTGTTGGCATCTTAGCAACGTACCTGACTCAGACCAGGTTCCATAAAGCCAGTTGCCAGGGTAGGCAGCAGTCTCGCCGGCCTTCTTGGCAATGGTGTCATAGTTGGAGCGAATCTTTTGAAGAAGAGAATCTCTCTTCCTTGGGTGTGGAACGGGAATGTGGTGGTAATCAGCAAATGCCAGAAGTTGAGAATCTATGAGGATATTAGCAAATGCTCGAACGCATCTCTCGCCAGTGGCAAACTTACCAGTCCAGCTATCAAAAACCCAATCTCTAACATTTGACCAAGCATCTTCTGCTTTGTCTTCCGCCTCGTACCAGTAAGCCTTGACTTGAGAGATCAAGCCATCCTTATTTTCCTCAGCAGTATCCTTAGTCTCAACACCCTTCTGTTTCAAATAGGAGTTGAGCTGTTTCGTATCCCAATCATTATACGGCGAGGCAACCTTTGTTTGCCAGTTCTCCTTTACCAAGTTTTCCAAATCTTTACGATCGGCAGATGTTGGGTATGGAACATTGTTATCGGAAAGCCATCTCTCGAGTTCGGTTTCATGCCACTTGTTGTAGACTGGAAAGATGATATGTTAGTAAAGGAAATCAATAAACATAGGACGAGATAGACATGGAAAGTGATAGACATGGGAAGCGATATGTGCAAAGCAATATCTTGCCTCAATCAATTATTTGATACCGTCTGAAGCTTCAACAACACGAATTATGGCAAGATATGATGATCTCAAGCAGAATGGAAGAGATGGGTAAACATACCAGCCTTACTGAACCAGCTACTAGCTACTGTAACTTCTGCTGCCAAACCCAACACCAACAGCTTTGTAAAGAACTTCATCCTGTGTGATGAGTTCTACTATTTCTTCTTACTCTTCTTATCTTGAACTTTAGAGCTCTGGGTATCGTTGCAAAAGAAAATAAGAAACTTCACAAGCAATTGTGGTATGATCTTGAGGATTTAGAAGAGGAGAAGGATTGATCAGTGAGTGTAGTAGAAGAAGTTATGTTGTTGACGTTGCACACAATGCCTATGTGGCTGGAGCAAAGCTTCCGCAAAAGCAAGAACAAGTGACGTAGCTTTTCTATGCAACCAATGAATTTATGTGTGAGCATTAACAAAGAAAGCTAAAGGATTCCCATTCCAAGGTAATTGGTTCAGTTCACTAGAAAGTGGTGGAAAAATTTGAGATTTTCCTCTAATGGAAAAGTTGGAAAAGATGGGAATTTTAGTACGGTACCAAATCGTTTTTACGCGTTTCTCTCCTCATCTTCCCTAGGAATCCAACTGTTTTATTGACGTTGATGTCATATGGATTGTCATGATTATCCACGACATACCAGGATGGCCGGGGATGTGCGAGAGATGTGGCTTGAAAAGGTCCAGAAAGGGTGCACGGACCATGATATACATTCGCCATCTCTGATAATGTGGGGTAGCTATGGATGAGAGCTGTAAGATTACGTGTGTGTGTGTGTGTGTGCAAAGTGAAGTCTGAAGTGAAGTCTGAAGTGAAATCTGAAGTGAGGTCTGAATGAACTGTGAAGAATGAAAAAAAGTAATCGGGATAATAGGAATAGGAATCATATCAATTGAACGTGAATGATGACTTTAATTACCAATCATCATCTATTAAGCTTCTCAAAGATTTGGTAGATAGCCAAAGCAAGCTTTGAGCAAGTACAAATACATCCATATTGCGGAACAAGATATTCCTGTCTGATGTGGGAAGTACATAAGATTGAAATTGGATTTGAAATCATATTTATACAGAATTTTGAAAGGAAACCATCTTCGCCAAACATAACATAGCATTAATCTCTCATCTGCCCCTACATGACCCATCACTAGATTATCCATTAGCTTCAAACCATCAGCATTGTACAATTTCATGAACTCACTACACCAACGCTCCTCCCAATCTAATCCTCAGACCTTCTGCGCGCCTCTGTCATGTCCCTTTCTGAACTCCCTGTTATGCTTCTCAACCTCAGCTTGTTTGCTCGAACTCTTCACTCCCGGCTCGTTTTCAGAATGAATCTTGGGTGAAGCTCCTTTCACGCTCTTCTCCTCTGGGTTCTTATTCTTACCTCCGTTCCCTTTGATAGAACCACCTGTAGGGCTGGATCCAGTCTCCTTTGCTTCCTTCGATCTTGATCCTCCAGATTGTGCCGATGCATCTTCAGGAGGTTTTGGACCACCAGAACCACCCTTCGTTGGGCCGGCACCGGTTCCTTGTCCCTCAGATACTGGCTCAGGACCTGGGTGTTCTGCATTATGCTTTGTATTATTCGAGGCACCTTGATCTTGAGGATTCTCAGCCATTGGGTGGCCCTTTCCATCTCCATACCCCTGAGTCGCAGCTCGGAGTGGTGTAGAAGAAAAGGCTCGAATAGAAGCCGGTTGTCGACATTGAATTGTGCGGATAGAGGCCATTGTGCGGCTGGCAGAATGGAGGCATCGAATGGAAGGCATGGTGAGGATAGTAAATTGAACGGTTGGGTATAATAAAACCGTTGAATTGTTTACTTTGTGAATGGACAATGAATGAGAAATATTCTTAGAAAGAAAGATCACCTACCTGTAAATAATAGACCATACTATAACATTCCGATCTGTACAGTAGTGACGAATCAAGTTTCATCGTTCAATTACATCATGACATTGGCTTTTTGCCATTGATCAGCTTGGACTGGCAGCTTTTCCGTTTGTCGAAATCAATTCCAAAAAGGCGGGGGTTGCACGTGATGACGCTAATATTCTCGGTACTGCACTAATAAATTCCTTCTTTCCTCTTCAGTATTACTTCAAAAATAGATGTCCTTTAAATTCTTGATTGTCCCTGATCATTGCGGTTAGGAAACGATAGGTAGTGACCCAGCTACCGGTACCGGCATCACTGCTTATCACCAAGGAGTATACAAGTCATCATCCAAATCGGAAGAGGACGGGGAGAAGGATGCTTGGAGACGCCAAAAGTAAGGTGGTCTTGGAGGAACTAGCATTTACGAACTAACTGTTCGTTTGTATGCTTGCACAATCTTCCCTGTAGTTGGGGATATGAATCGATTTTCAGTTCCCACACTTCGAGCGAAGTAGGAACTATCAATTAAACTCGAACGATAAAGTGTCCGGCGTGTTGTTAAGCGAAGGAGCGGTTATAATCTCCTTGTACCATCCGACTAAATATAAGGTCCCTTTTGATTAATACTTTACTAACTTCACAATGGCTTGTATTCAAGGCCGTTGTATGATGTGCGATATTACCCACTTGCTACCATTTTAGCATCCAACCTCGTCATCTACTAAGGATATCCTTCTCTCCATCACATGTTACATGTCAATTTTCGTGATATTCTTCTTCATCTTGCTTTCCATCAAAGAATGCCATTATGAAGGTTCCGTGCATTGCTATCATCGCCATTGCTGTTAGCACAGTCACTGGCGCATATATTGACAGTACACCCGCCGATATAACTGTAGTTGAAAGTAAACTCTTCAATGGCACCACTCATGGAGATCAAAATTCCATGACAAATTGGAATGACACTATATCCACAACCATCACAACATCAGACAACTCACCTACAGATGAAGATGCAACCATCGAAAGCGTAGACGCAGAAAAAGAATATGAGGAAGAAGCTGCGGAAGTCGCTGAAGATATTGCATTAAACACCCAAGATGACTCAGAGGACAATAAGCTCTTCCCGCCCAGTCAACTATGCGCTACACGTCGCAAACCTCGATGCTGCGAATTAGGCGGGGGATTGTACAAAGATGGATGCGAACGTCGTAAGTGATCCGAAACCCCTTTGAACCTCACTTCAAGAAAAGTCATGTTAAACTCATCCCAGTTTCGATGCCACTTCCAGCCAATCGCAACGATTTCCGGAGCATGTGCGATGAAGCGAATAAAGTCGCCTATTGCTGTAGGAATTCCGTCGACATAGTACGTTGTATTCCAGCCTATATTACCCCATTGTCTCTACATTGTTCAACACCAGCTTACCATATTCTCCTTATATCCATAGGCCCAAATAGGAGTCATGTGTCGCAAAGCAAGAATGTGAATGGATACTTTGGGAAACTCAGACCGGGCATGGGTATAGGAAAGGCGTTCAAAAGGAAAGAGGCTTGTTGTAGGATAATATAGATTTGAATACAATCTCGTTCAAGACTTCAAAAATAAATCCATCTTATCACTTCTAAGTCGACAAAGTCGCTTATTTAATAACACACTATTATCTCGTTATTCCAAAAATTGAATCTGCTTGCTGCATCGAGTCGCGATGAACTGAATACTTGAGCTGAAGTATACATATGGAATGAAGTAGGAAAATCGAATTTGAGGTAAACACCCAAGGGAAGAGGAAGATGTGAGAAAATTTAATCATCTTAAAACATTACAACCATACACCCATATCCGAATCTCCATAGCGTCATGAACATCCTAAGCAATCCTAATACTCGAAAGTACTTGAGGTCCTCTATACCCCAAATATTTGAACACCCAGAATTGATTCTTCTTCAATACGTGCTCCCAAACCACATGTGCAGTATAACCAGCACAGAAGTCATTCCATTGACTAAAAAATCCCGCAAAACCCAACATTCAAAATACGATTAAAATTATTTATTTGACTCTCAGATTCATAATACATACGCCAATCGACGTGACTTTTTTGCTTTTGCAGACCTTTGTAAACTTTTAAACTTTTGCCTGTCCGCCTGGTATCCCACTCTCTTTTGGGCTTTCCTTCTGTTCATCCATCCAACTTTTGTGCGTGTCCGATCCTGATTTTTTAGGGGTAGCTATACCAGATGACTTTTGTTTTCCTTCTATTAAAAAGCTTTTTTTTTTCCTTCCGAAAAACATAACAGATATTTTTAGTCTGACGATGAAATAATTCTAGTTTGAAAGTAAAACGCCTCTTGTTCAAGAACTGTACATTGGACTTTTGGTGAAGAATTCCGGTGGAGCGCGCAACGATAACTTGTGGCCTGGTGGTGCGTGGTGCGTGTGAAGACTATCCGGAATACATTAGGTACCGAATCTCGTGCTCTGGATACGTGGTGGATGTTTCAGGAACGGCGACATGGAGTTGATTTTAGCTGCCCTTCATCATTTTTGCAGGGCTCCTCAAAATCTTCAAGTGATCGAATTTGAGGTAGATGTGTTTGACACAAAGATAATTCGGCGCGACAGGTGCACTTGGCGAGAATTGTTGTCCCTTCTCAAAGATCCTCTCCTCGGAAGTTTCGTCCAGGGACTCCGCGGCTCGGTATTATCAAGACTTATGCTTGATCTGATGTTATTGCTCCCCTCCTTCCATTTCCACTTTAGACGGAATTTGAGTTATCCGCACAACTGAAGGAACTTGATCCTCCCGCTGCCCTATAAGAGTCGATAATAGCGACAATAGATCCATAAGTACCAGCGACCATCAAAAACGATCCGATGATAATAACAAAAACACTCCAGCAGCACATGAAGATCCACGAGCGCGATCTTTGAGTCTTTCTGAGGCCCCAGTTATCGTAAAACCACATGATACCAAATGGTTGGAAGTTGAAAAGAGTTCCGAAAAGAGCACCGATGAGGGAGATAAGACCGCCGAAGATTGGAATGGCACTTGCGATAACATAGGCGCAGATAATGACGCAGAAAGTGCAGCCGAGCCAGACCATCCAATGGGTCATAGAGTTGACAGTAAGATGCTTGGATCCACGGAGGAGACGAAGGAAGAGGAATTTTGCTGGAAGCTGTGGAAGATATTAGAGAAGAAGAAATGAGAGATGGGAGCTGTACTTACATGGGAAAGTAAAATGGTGCTAACCAAGAGACCGGGAAGAGCAAGACCGTAGCAAACTTTCTTCATGGTATCACCTGCTGAACCAAGAGCAGGTGATGCGACGTAGGAACCACAGAAATAATAGACGACAATACCGATTGCAGTGTACATAGCCGTGATGAAGCCTTGACTGATATACACTGAACGAGTATAACTCCTTGGATTGCGCATCTCAGAGTGAATGTTGAAGTATCCAGGAGTTCCAGCGAAAGAAAAAACAAGCGAGCCACAAGCAGAAATAGCATCAGTGAATGATGGGGAACCAAAAAGCTTGAAGTCAGACTTGTAAGGACCTGTTGTCACAGGAGCGTCGGCTGGTTTTCCTTGAACGCCAACAGCGATTGTGAGAGTAAGAACTTGCACGTGTTAGTCGAGTGTTTTCTCATCATGACAGCTAATTGACTTACTAGCAGTTATAATGCCAGCTACACCAATCCATGCAAGCCAGGTGATCTTGCCTAGGGTTTGGATACTGGAGAAAATGAAGGCAATGATAGCTGCGACAACCACAAACACAGCAGTGCAAGTAGCATGGGTCGATAACGCATTCAAGGCGATTGAAACACTGAGCATACCAGATGCAGATACGAAAACCCAGACTGAATAAACTGGTCAGAATCAAGCTCGTCTTTCCAATCAAACGGTGCTACTCACAAATAAAGAATGCAGCACCAACGATCTCACGAGCAACATTTCCAAAAATGATACCAGCAACATCTTCGATACCGTACACTTCTGGATGTATTCTCTTGAATACTCCAATCATGTACTGTGACCATCCCGTGATCGTGGCCATGGTGAGGACACATATGATACCGGGAATCATCCCCAACGTGTCAAAAACCGCTGGGATTGAAAGAACACCAAGACCTAAGTTGGTCTTGAGCATGAGAGCAGTCGAGCCCAAAGCGCCAACCTGAAGATAATTAACAAATATACACTTTAGTAGGTTATTCTGTACATACACCTCGATAATTTGGTCCATCCTCATTAATCTCACCAAAGACTGCATCATGAGTCACATCATTATTTGTTTCACTTTTTTGGCTCTTGTTGTCGTAGTCGCCCTGTTCAGCCTGGCGTGAGAATTGAAATTGGTCGGCCATTGCTCCCGTGTTCCGAGCTCTATATTCACAATATGACAAGTTGCAAGTCGTGGGAATGAAGATGTAGATGAGTGTTGAACAGGAAGAGAAGTCTTTTTCAAAAATATGTCATTTTCTAGGCGGATTATATAATGGAACCCAAGCATTGAGTGCGCAAATAGACTTATGTAAGCTCGGATCAGATGGAATTCCAAGCTCTATCCAATTACCAATAGGCTTGACTTGGATTTAACATCAAGTCATTGTGAAAATGTGGAAATATTAGTGACATACTATAATTAAATGGAGCGCGCTATTATGTACAACGTCAATCAAGTGGATCTAAATCGTTCTATGACTAAATCGAAAGAAGTAAAGACTCCTGATTTAGCGAGGCCAAGCGAGCATTGGCAGACGCAAAGGAACTTTAAGAAGACTTGGTGCAGACTTCTGATCTGGGGCCGCTCATGCACGACTCGAAAGTCCTTCTTTTTCCCCGCCACGGCTCTATTTTCTCAAGGCAATCCCGAATATTCTGGCAGGGTACCTCGCCGAGAACGGAGGTCCAATAGAAAGTGTGGGGAACACGTTGCAACAAACTTGAAAAAATATTTTGGTATCCATCTCTCAACTGACGGAAGTCGGCGCAAGGTAGATCTCGCAATCGGCATTCAATTCTCTAATACATCATGGGGGGGTACATTGGATGGGACCCTTCTTGCAGGCATGAAAATATGAAGAATCATGGAACTAAATACCTTCAACATTTGCAAATTTAGGTATTTCCCAGTGTTGAGTACTTTGGTAACTAAATTTCACTTGTGATGGCTCTAAGCAATGTGTCTACCCCCTTTTACAATCCGGGTCTAAGGGACAAGAAAAAAGATGGCTAGCGTGCAGAGATGACTTCGAAAAAGATTTTACAAATTACGTAACTTGGCGCAAGTCGGTAAACTATATTTGCCACTAGTATTGCAAATGAACGACATCGGAACAACCAATGTTTTGGATTGTCTATTTATTTGCTTTAAATCATCAATCATTAGATTTACGATTTATATAATGTAACACAGATGTTTATTCATGGGTTGTTTGAGGCACTTCGAATAACTACAGCAGTTGACATCAGTGCAATGCACCCCTTCCACTCAATGGAAGCAACAACCAGCTCTCGAGTCTCCTGAAAATGTTTACCAAAAGACGGTCAATCAGAATCCCAAGAGGCCGGAAACGCTCCGTGCTCGCTCACCGCAGCCGCAGCTTTCTCTCGTATATCACACTCTAGGAAGCACTTCCCTGTATGCAATGATCCGCACCCAAAAGCACTTCCTTCTGCAGGGTCGCTTTTCTCTTCGCAAACTTATTGTTCTCGGATCCGGCTGACTGAATGGCCCACTCGCCCAAGACCGCATCAGACCTGACAATTCTGACACATTCGCAGCTTCCTCGCTGAAATGTCACCGGACTACAAATTCGGTGCTTGGTTGAAGTCGTTGACCCACTTACCCCGGAATACGAAGGAAGGACTTACCATTTCCAGCATTTTGTGCGGCATGGTCGTCTATTCAAGGGATAGAGAGTCGAATTTTGAGATTGAGCAATTTACAACGCAGAAGATATTCTAGGCCCCATCAAGAAAAGTATTTAGTAAGATATCTATGTGGAACTTCCCCAGACACGTTTTCCCAAGAGTATGATCAGATATCTGGATTGGTTGCCCTGACCCTGTCGACAACACCTTGAGAGCACTTTACACTTTACAGGTGTCCAGAATACCCTCGGACAGCACAGCTAGCACATCTGGAGTCCCCATATTGCTAGTTTGGAGTTACCGCTTGGCTCTTTGATGAACTGCGGAGTGTAACACGCGAGATGACGGGACTGTTCGGCAGAAATGACCACTATATTGAGATCCCTGGGGATCGCATAGAGCAGTCTCGCTCCACCAGTTGCTATATGCAAAGCCTTCTCCACACCAAACCCATTTGATGCCGCTGAACCCCCGTGCAATTTTAGCATGGCATATGCCATATTCTCCACGGCAACAAGTAGCCACAGTTCCGAAGTAATTAGGTTGCCATACATGATGCATTCTGAAGACCCAACTTTGAAAACACCATGGACACAATGTGCCTTTTTTCTCCACATTCCGACCGGCATCAAGCCTGGCAGTGCATTGGGTGATCAACATTGGACTAGATCTCAAAATGAAGCATTATGGGGTAACTTTCGTAACTAGTATGCCTAGCACATGAATTCAAGTGTCAAAAGTAGCAGGGATACGAAGTTGATACTCGCTCCAGTATGCCTGTCGATTTGCTTCGTGGTATTCTATGTAGCATATAGTACCTCGTGAAGGTCCCGCTTTCATCTGCACTAGTAGTTTCTCACTGTGCCAATATATTGATGAGATTCTGACAACAGGTAGCCCAGAGTCTTGTACCAGTGGTCAAATTTGAATGAACCAATCGCACAGTATCTGTCTAGCAGCACCGGTCACTGAGCTTTCAGTTTCACCCCAGCAGCTCTAGGGACATTTGAATCGTTATAATTGTACTCTCCGAAGATACTTCCTGCTGCAAATGCAATCTCTCAACCACTTGATCGTTGCCTTCTTCTCAACGCGTTGCTCGGCTCCTGCTTTGTTCAATTCTCCCATACAGATATTATGATTGAAGCCGTCTATTTCATTATTGACAAAGAAGGAGGGAAAACGTGCTTATAAGAGCAAATGTTTTTCGTAGAAAGTGGGGATGTAATAGACAATATATGGGCCCGCTGTCAACGCAAGGCGTAAGATGTGGTTTGTTCCATGATGACGGAAGATAAGAACACCTGACAATAGTATGTTGCTACTCCTCATCTTATCCCAGAGCGATCGAGTTTAGCTGAAGAGGGTGGATTTTGAAGTAAAATCTTGACACGAGAGGGTCTATCTTGTGTATGCTTTACCTGATTTAGACGTTCGAGTGACATGAATTGGAGGGTTCTGTAAGGAAAGTTGAGTATCTAGTGAATCAGGTGGTAATCCGAAAGAATGATTATCATAACTAAGTCAGTTCACCGGTATTCCCGCCTGTCCAAACATCATCACCGGTCCTAAGTAGGGACGAATGTTGGTCAAGGAGACATGTCAAGAAAGATTTGTACGCTGGCAGTAGGCTATGTTTCTGGGGGGATATGGATTTGATGGCAAATGGAATCATGGACATGCATACACCCATTGGCAGCATCGGGACAAATTTTCCAGAAGGTCATCAAGGCACCATGAATGAAAAAGAAGACTCGCACATGTGCGCATCCACCAACCACATATCCGTAAATCAGTAGTCTCGTAACATAATCTCATAAATTTCATCTTATTCATTTAACTCCATAGCTTTCGTTTAAGCGCATCATTGATGATGCTTATATACTGTTATGCTCTTCTCTAAACGCCTGTTTCCATTCCATAGTCCCAGCTGCATAATGTTGAATTTTGCCTCGCTCCCTTCATCCCTCCAATATTTCTACTAGGACCAGCAGGCCCATTAAGCAGGAGCTGTTCCACTAGTCCCCTTCCAGTACTTCGATGGCACGAAAGGCATCTTAGTGACCTTTGCTTTTCTTTCCTTCCCTCTAACCACCACACCTACATCAGTACCCGCCTTATGAAACCCATCTTTAATGTATCCCATAGCGACGTTCTTGCCTAATGTTGGACTCGGACATCCACTTGTGATATTTCCGATTTTTTCTCCCTTATCATTAACAATATCCGCGCCTTCACGAGCAGGTGCCCCTTCGACTATAAGGCCAATTCTTCTTCTTTCGACTCCACTTCCACCTTCACTTTTCGGAGTAAGTTGCTTAAGAATAATTTCAGCGCCGTGAAAGCCTCCTTCTATTCTCCTCTCTTTTCCTACTACCCAACCTAGAGCTGCTTCTACTGGTGTTGTTGTATCATCTAGGTCATGTCCATACAAACACATACCAGCCTCCAATCTCAAACTATCTCTCGCACCCAAACCCGCCAACTGTAGTCTTGTCTCCCCAGCGCTCTTCAAAAAAGATTCAGTGACCTTCACCGTCTCACTCTCTGGTATTGATATCTCGAATCCATCTTCTCCTGTATAACCACCCCTACTAACCAACAAGTTCCCAGAAATCGACCCATCAGCCAAACGAATCTTTATGAACCTCGACTGTCCAAATAAGAAATTCTCAAACCCTCCCTCCTTCATCTCCTCTGCCAAAACTCCCTTCAATATTTCCTCACTCTCTGGCCCTTGCAACGCAACTAATCCCCAACCATCGAGCACCTCCCATCCGACCTTGTCTCCTCCTTCCTTGGTAAATGCCTCTAATTCCTCCCCTAGATATTTTAAATCCTTCTCTCTACAGCCTGCATTTGTAACAACATAGAATAGTTCCGGGCCCAGCCTCGTAATGATGGTATCATCCACAATTCCTCCAGTTCCAGGATGCAATAAACAACTCAACCCTCCCTGATGTAAAGCCAAATTTGCGATACTAGCCGGTGTAATCCTTTGCAAAAAAGCAGTTGCACCTGGTCCCTCAAATCGATGTTGAACCATATGGCTCACATCAAAAAGACTGGCATGCTCTCTCGTAAAATGATGAGATGCGCTCACCGAGAGTCCAGAGTATTGAACTGGCATATAGAAACCACCAAAAGGAACCATCTTTCCACCATTGGAAATGTGCAGGTCGTAGAGAGGGGTTTTGCGAAGCTCCGTAGATGAAGAAGGAGCAGATGAGGCATGGCGAATTGAATTCTGCTTTCTTGTCGTTATAGCAGATATTGGAAATCGAGCAGTAGTATTAAACGATGAGAGAGAGGTCGCCGGATAGGTTTCTCGTCGGAGAGCTGTCGAAAGCTGACCAGAGCGTCCTGGGACTGTGCGGTTGATCAATGCAGCATCACAGATGCTTGCTACAGCTTTGAATCGTCTCATTATGGATCAATTGCTTGCTATCAAAAAGTTATATGGTTGAAAGGTATGAAGGCTTATGTTGACATTCGGCTTCAAGATAACGCCCAGCCCGGTTTCGGCTCACTAGTGGGGGAATCTAGTGTGATAAGGGCCTAAGAAATGTGTTCCAGGCATACACATCATAACGTAAATATCTTTATAAACCCGATAAGAAAAATAATCATTGTTTCTACACTAATTGAACATCTGCGCATCGACACAATCAATAATCGCTGAGATTTGACCTATTGTAAACGGTAGGATATGCAGCTTCCCTCGTGAGGCTTTTGGTCTCTCAGTCTTACAACTCCCTAACAAAAACTCACACTATCACCACAATCCTTTACTTCGTCTCAAAGCTGTATCTCAACCACCCCGAGAGAGCATTTAAACTCTCCCATCTCACTGTCTCATCAGGCTCCGTCATCAGTTCCATAACTCTAGTCTTGAGGCCCAATCTCTCCAATTGAGATCTCTTTTCCGGAACCTCTTTGACCAAGTATCCTACATCATTGCATGCAATGGCAAGAACTTGCTTGTCGTTCTCCCAGGGCTTGCTCATGATCTCTGCCAGCTTCTTACACAACTCGCCTTGCTCATAATCGAGAATTTTGCGCGCGTTCTCGGCCCAAAATATCTGATTTCGATGGGGTGGTGACCAGCGGAGATGACCTGAATGAACTTCTGCAGCATACTCATCGAAAGTAGTTTGAGTCTTTGTATGCTCTTCTAAAATTTCGCTCAGTTTCTTGAGATCATCCAAAAGATCTTCGTCTGTAAGATGGCGTCCATTCAAATTTTGTAAGAGAGCTGGAAGGCGAGCGAATACCGCTACGGGGAGTAATGAACTTTGATTCGAGGCGAGAAGGTTGTACAGAGACGATACTAACAACCGGGTTGTCTTCTCCTTTGGTGATAGTCTCAAAAGTTGCGTGTAAAGTGGAATGATATCATACTCGCTATAGATTGGTCAGTTGTTTGTCATTGCGTGCCTCTCAAATAGACAAGACTTACTCCTCAAGTCCCTCTCCAATTGCAGCACCCTCGAAGCTCAATTGCCACAAAACCAGTAGTACGTGGTAAAGTAACTGTAGTCCAACGCCGCCGCCCAAAGTTCCCTCTGGTCCACTTCGGATACTTGCAGCCCCACTCCACAGTGTCGATGCAGAGTCGCCATTAGAAACGCCTGCAGCTGATTTAAGGATGGCAACTAAGGGTTCAATTGTCTCCGACCTCTGGTTCCAGAACAATTCTCTCGACTTCTTGCCTTGTAACAATGACGAATATTGTAAAACTGCTATATCTTGTAAACCACCGTCCGAGCTCTTTGCCAGTGTTGACAAGTAGTGCAGCAATTTTGGCATTGCTTCCAAGGCATTTTGAGATGCATCCTTGGATCCTGAGATTATACTTGTAAGAACCGTGGAGGTGAGTAATGGTATGGGGCTTTCGAGTTCAGCGGATTGATTCAGTAGTGGGAGGAAGGGCTTATATGGATCGTCGTGCTCCGAAAGAGTCTTTGATAACGTTGGAATGCCTATTCAATTTCTGTCAGTACCCGAATGGATAACGTATGGAGTGGCAGATATGTACCATCAAGTAAATCGCCCAACAAGACTAAGATATACTGAACAACATCTGGGCGCTTTGCTTTCGTCGCAGATTCCAAAACGCTCGATTCTCCTTCCGAACCTACAAACAGCTTTCTATACGCATTTGGATCTTTCTCTACAATCTCCTTCCTTTGCTCCTTTCTTACTTTATCAACAGCTCGAATCTTACTCAGTTGATCATCGGTAATTGTGCCAGCTCGTACAGCGCCATCCCAGGGTATTGGTCGTTGGCGAATGTTGTTCATCAGCGAATAAAGGTAAGTGGGTGGGTCAAGAGACATGATGAATTTACTACTCAGCTCCTCGGGGTATCAAATCGACGTTATGGAGCGAGTGTGTGTTATGTTTTCGTAGTTTCGTGGTTGTTGGTTATGTTGATTTGTTGATTCAAGCTTCAAGGTAGCTCTTATCGAGGGAAAGCGCTAGCGGAGCTAGCATGCTCGCTACAACGTGAGTCTTGAGGTGTGGCTCTCTCCTTCACGCTCGGCGGCCAGGCACAAACCAGCATGACCAACTTTTAATTGCTTCTGTGTTATATGATAATACGTATTCGATATATCAGTTACGAATATTGCGATTTAATTATTACTACAACAAATATAACTTTTGTCATTGCGAAAATCGTGCCATTCGACAATACCCTTATGCACTACTGGTCACTGATATAAGCTACATGCATGCACAGCATTCGCATTAGCGATATGGTTAGATAAACTTGTAATTATCATGTATACTTCTGCTGCTGCGGTATTCTAAATATAAATTGCCGGGAAACATTATGTCGTGTTAACCATGGCATTCATCATTCTATTCAATTGTGAGCCCTGCCTAGACGCCTTCCGATTGACTTTGCGATCGCAAGTCACCAAAACTTACTCATTAGTGACCTAGTGGCGGGAGGTAAAATAGTCCGCCTCACTACTCCCTTGAGACATCCCGGGACTAGATTCACCATTGCCGTTGTTTCCATTGACATTAGATTCTTTAATTGGACGAGGAACCTTTAATTTTGTACCTTCAAACATAAAACTCGTCGCTTCTCGGTCGGTATTAGGGCTTCTAAGGCTGACCATTTCCAATGCCTCCATCAAGGTAGCCCCAGTTTCGTCAAGAGCGGTTAGGAACCGTGCAAGTTCTTTGCACAATTCCCAATCCTCTTCATCTTTCGCACGAGAAAGCAAACGAACAAGTTGTTCTGAGCTTGAACTCAATTCTTCGAAAGTATGAAGGATCAGCAAATATCCGCCCGCTGTCTTCAAAGATCCTCGTTGCAACGATTCCTCGAACAGTTCTTGTGGTGGTGGTAGATAGGTAAATAGCGTCCGCCATGACCTCACTTCCGTTTTACGAGTACACTGTACAACGATATCCAAGTATTGAGGGAACGAGGATAAAAATGATAGCACACCTGGCAATAAAGCTGCCTCAGGTGACGGTGGCGTATCTACTTCCTCATCGAGGACATTATGTAATAAAATTTCAAGTGAGTGCGCAAAGTATTCAAGATCTTGATACTGATGAGCTAGATGTAAAGCTGCAGAAGAATCAAATCGAGATAAATGGAAGCGTAGGATTTGTGGGATAAATAGATGAGTCTAGAATATACGTTAGCGTGAATTCAATGTCGGACTGATGCTCAGTACATACCCTAATTGTGAATTTGAAAAAAGCAAAATTCACATCACGACGCTGAACTAGATCAGATTCGAGTCCAAGAAGAATACCTTTGCCGAGTAGAACTGACAAAGGATAGAAATCAATAGGTATGGATACCGTGGAGGGAAGTTCGCGACCCAATTCCGACGGGGCAGAGCGGAGGACGTCCTGAACCTCAGGCCATACTTTTAATTCATTGCCTTCAAAGAACCAAAGCGCATCTCGCAACCCATTACCTTGCCCATGGTCTCCCAATTCCTCGGTGGATGCAGTATTTCTGGGTGGGTTCGCTAATGGTTGATCTCTCATAAGGGCATAGAATTCGATATTTTGCGCAATGACTCTCATATCGTATTTGAGTTTGCGTTCATCGTTGAGTGATGGTTGTAATAACACAAGTTTACCATCAACCAAGAATAGAACAGTTGCAACAGCCACGTCTTGTGACGGGTCTCCTTCCAGTATCTGTTCATCCGGTAAAATCCAACTTAGGCCTCTTACTCTAGCTGGGGATCTGACTATACCATGAAATGCTATCTGCCCAACTTGTACAAGCTTCGCTACACCATTTGTTGTGGCAAAGATGTAATGATACAGTAAATTGTCATAGGTATAAACAAGTAGAGAGTCTTCCCCAGAAGGGGCGATTAGAACCACCGGCGCTGGCAAGTACTCAACATGCAACATGGCGGTATTGTCGAGGGTAGCCTCACGTGAGAATAAACGCAACTCGAAAGAATCTCCAGCTTCTACAGCAGCAACTAATATGTGTTGGTGCCAACACATACCTCCTCGTACCTGAAATTCGTTCTCCATATTTTCATTGACGAATGTCTTCCATCGACCACTATTAATACTGTAATGTGCAAGTCCACGCCGACCAGCCACAGCGACGTATCTGCCATCCGATGATATGACAGAACAACGTATGGGCCATTGATCCACAAGATAACTGGAAGGTATCTGAGCATTGTGCCACAAAGACGATTCTGCCGATAAAGTGGTAAGGTCAGGCATATCATAACCTCGATAAACCATTATATTCGAGGTAGTTTGGAGTAAAGTGCGAGATATATTTGCAGAGGCATAGCATCCAGTAATAGCACTACGCGCCATCTCTAAAGTCCAAAGTCGATTGTCTTTCTGGCTAATCAGAAGGATCTCGGACCCGCCACCAATCCATACAGCCTCTTTAACACCAACCAGCCAGCCCTCATTGTTTTCTTCGCATATCCTTCGGTCTGATCCAAAACTATTTGCCCCTGGTTTGCCAAACACACTCCACATTGCCCAGCCATTTTCATATCCTGCGAAAAGGCTATATCCATCGGGAGAATAACTGAGACAAGTCAATTGACCAGAGGAGTGTCGGGAAACTGACAGGCGATGAGTGTGTGAAGGCGGTACATTGCCGACATAATCCTTGGCGGTGAAGACTTGTATGGTTCCATCATTACAACCAACGGCTATGAGAGAGAATCTGGCATTGATAGCTGATCTGATTGCATTGTTGTCTTCATTTGTAGGTATATGAAAGCAATAGCCTCTGAACAATTTTCGGTGCCCGTCTGAATCTTTGTGCCGGGTATGACGTTGCACTGCGTATGCCCGACCATCACTAGTGATCCAAGTAGATAAATTCATCGGTCTATCATACACCATCTCGGTTACGCTGGCTTTCTTAGCTAGCCATTCCATCCGGCTAAAAATCTCTGTGCTTGTTTGGTTTCCTGTACTATCAGGAGTCCATCTGATGCACTGCACTGCCCCTGGCTTCTTTGTTGCGACGACTAATTCATCATCTAATGCTAAAGCATTGCCGATACCTGCGTCAACCTTGATGACCATTCGAAACTTTACGCTCACGTCTCTGACACCACCTCCTTCCCCTGGCCCCCAAAGAATCCTATCTCCACCCTGACTCCTATGACCACTGAAATTACTTTGTCTACGATTTATATGATTGTCAAAGTGCGGCTTGAAAACTCTGGATTCGGGATCAGTGGCTAGAGTGTAAGTTATGAGAAATCCATGTGTTGTCTGAACGACGAATATCATGGAATCGGGTCTGAGAAGAAGGGAAATATTCGATCCGTATGTAGCAAGGGATTTATGGGATCGAACCACAACAGCCAATATGGCAGTAGGCTATGGGAATAGGTTAGCAAAACTCAGTCCCAGACTTTGAAGATTTCGGAATAAAAGTACCTTTGTCTGCCATATTGTAAGGGTAGTAGATGTTATAGCCGCGAAAAGATGACCACTTCGGGATATTCTCAGTGCCAGCAGCGGATCGTTTTCTGGTCGACCAGAAGGAAAATAAGATGCATCGGTGAGGGATGATCTATTCGAAGGTCGAGTGTGAGTGTCGTGTTCAACTGGCTTTATGCCCGGTGTGATAGGTGTTATGGGGGTCGATAAACCGGAAGTAAACTCTTGATCTTCATCAGCATTCTCCTCGGTTTCATCGTTCGGCACATTTATCAGAGATCCGCTGCCTTCTGTAGGTTCCCGCGACTCCGCGTCATCGTCCGTTTGGATAATGTGATCTTTAGATGCGGCGCTGCTGCTTGCTGCGTATATTCGAGGCGCTCCAATCGGCCAGTACATGGCTGTCCAATGCCACTGGAATTTTCATCCACATCATCGCATGTCCGCGGAAGTTATTGGCGTATAATTTGAGCAAGGTGCTCTTCGTTGTGTTCTGAATACTGGGTGAATAATTACAAGCTCATGATCACACAAGGTTGTCTTGAATGGAATTGGCGGCTAATTTTCGGTAATACCCGGAGGGTGAGCTCTCGACTTGCCCAGGTGTACTACATACCGATATCATTGTCTTGAACACAATAAGCACAGGCACGATAGCCATGAGCTCAAAATTTTCAAAGCTTTCATGACAATACTACGCAATATCTTCTTTTAACTAAGATACCTAGTACCTCTTCAAGAATTATATAATACATTTTATTTTCGGCGTCCACAAAGGTCTCAAATACATAGAAAAGATGGCACCCCTCCGCCATCGACAGAGTCTCTCAAAGGAGAAGTTCTCCGGATATTTTGGCTCTTTAAAGACCCAAACTTATAGCGACCCTGGTACAAGAGGCTCTGGCTCTCATAGGTATGCCCTTCAATCATTTGGATGGCCACCATTACAACTATGGGAAGGTTTCGATATCACGTGACGTTGAAGCATTTTACTCGCCCAACTGGTTCTGTATATTCATTTCACTGACTCTTTGTATAGTTTAAGGACAATCTCATGGAATCCTCTGGGCTCACTGATAGCAACTGGGGCTGCAGATAAGACGCTGAGGGTATGGAATCCCGAGAGACCTTCAGTGAACTACTCTACTCAACTTGTTGGCCACACTGCTGGAATCGAAAAGGTGGCATTCAATCCTGTAAAAGATGCTGAACTTGCCAGTGTAAGCAGCGATGGTGTTGTCAAATTTTGGGACGTCAGAACTAAAGCTGTGATCAACGAAGTCAAAGGATTGGGCGACGCATTCACATTAGTCTGGCATCCGAACGGCGAGAGCCTAGTTGTTGGTAACAAGGTACGTGATCTAATACCGATTTTTATTTCTCTCTGTGAATAAGAGGTATCCAATAGTTTGGACAGCAGTCTCGTCATGAGAAACGTCCAAGTCCCGAGTCCCATTGGGGCATTCGAAACGTTAAACCCGAAATAACTCATCCTTGATATTGCATTGTTACCTGACTCTGCAACTATTCTCAATTATGGATTCTCATCAAGAATTTCAAAGCCAAACTTAGTCTACCAGTCCGAGTTATCGTGTATTCTGTGTGAAATTGTTGCCTAACCCTATTTTAAAGAGCTTGATTTACCGTTGCACATTTTAGACCAGAGCTAATCATCAATAGTCTGATAATATCTACATACTTTCCCCAACACAATCAACCCCCCTTGCTTCACATCAGCAGCCAGTGCAAACAAACCAAATTGCTTTCTGCTGGAGCGGTGACAAAATATTTCTTACAACGGGAGAAGGTCGTATAAAGATTTTGTCCTATCCTGACTTCAAACCCACCTTTAACATGAGTTTCGAGGCTTCACAGCCCTTCACTTTGAACGGGCATACATCCTCGTGTCTTTCCGTGGAGATGCAGCCAACAGCTAGGTTCTTGGCCAGTGGAGGCTCGGATTCCATCATTGCACTCTGGGATACAACTGATTGGATATGTCAACGTACTTTGATTGATATGGTGGGCCCCATCAGAAGCATAAGTTTTAGCTTTGATGGAAGCTATATTGTCGGGGGTAGTGATGAAGGTACAGGATTGGAAATTGCTCATACAGAGACTGGAGAGCATGTGTACACCGTCAAAGGCAGCCCTTGTCCTGTTGTCGCCTGGCATCCCAACAAATATACTCTAGCATATGTGGAAAACGGTGGCTTGAAGATTATTGGAGTCGACTTAGAAAGGAAGTAAAGGGCCTGATTTCTATGGTCTTTGAAGCCAGCTTGTAAGCTTTCTGCAAGGGGTTGATAAGCCTTACGAATGCCCTGGAAGGCACAACGACAAGAAATTCGATTGAAAGGCCACCGTAAAGTTATCCTCACAACAGAAGCGACGGATGATCATCACGATGCGGACGAAGGTGTATACGATATATCTTGCTCGCCGATTATCTAGGCACTAGCTTGTATCTCGAAGAATTAGGAAGATATACATGGCAACTTGGGGCGATGTTGTCCAAATACAGTTTACTAGCAAAGACCCATGATCCATACCTCCGTGCGTTTTAGCCTCAGCGTGTTGGATCAATTGCACATCATTTTAGTCACCCAAATATGAACTTTCCCAAGCAAGACGTTTAAAGAATGTATGGCATGAATTGGTGAGTCGGGGGCAACATCCAGCCGTATTACTAATAGGATCTCCTTTGTCTCTTGAGCTTTAATTACATCCGGTTGTCTCACAAGGCTGGTGTGTACCCAAGCAGCAGCGCGTCTGCCATGCATATGCATCTCTTGCTAAAGATGCCAATGGTTGTTGTGAAAGGCGGGGTTTACGAACAAGGTTTTATTTTAGCTTGCGAGTGAAAACGACTCTAAAGCTGATGCCTTGAGTAACCTCGAGATAACGTGTTAGGATTAACTGTTACGAAACGTTGCTAATTGATTTTATACTGTTGCAATGCGATGATGTTCCCATATCTTGTGCGTTGCCATTAATTTGTAGACCTCGCACAGTCAGCAATGATTTCCCTGGTTCATTTCCCCCATTCATGATCTCCCATCCATGGCTCCACCTTTATCACGGAATAGTGGAATAGCCTCACTTTTATAGACCCCAAACCTTATGGGTAGTTGTGATACGGACGTATAGACCCTCATCGCCAGACATTTTTACAGGCATTAGAGGAGGCCTGATAAAGTTCTAGTGTTCCTTCCGAATCTCGATAACCTAACTCCACCTCTTCTTCAATTTCTTATCGAAAAGCATAGCAGCGCAGCTTTGTTCTTTGCATTTTCCTTATTATATAATATACACCATTCATTGACAAGCCGTTTGTCACATTGCAACATTGCCTGGTTCATCGAATTAATAATTGCCTTTGCGATTATCTTTATTTAAATCACGCCGGCACGATTTCGTTGCGATAACAAGTTCTCACGACACATCACACCCTGCAAGCTTACTGGACGTCGATGATCGGTTGCATTGGATGCGGAGGGAACCCATTCTTTCAAAGTTTGAATCATCCTTCAATGTGAAATGTCTTCAAACTCGAATACACCTCGCGAAGACTTTTTCAATGACTTTTCGCAACAAACAACCAATTTAAGGCCAAACAGTAGTGTGAAAGATACGGGCAATATGGCAGGTCGAATAGATGGAAATGGAGGAGACTCGACAATTCCAAAACCGAAGAGAATTGCATGTATTATATGTCGAAAAAGAAAACTTAAATGCGATAGTTCAAAACCAAGTTGTTCAACGTGTACGCGATTAGGACATGATTGTGCTTATGATCCTGTGCGAAGAAAGTCTGGCCCAAAACGTGGCTATGTGAAAGCATTAGAAGAAAGATTGAGTGAGTCTCTAGGCGCCAGGATCCTGAAATTTAGGGAATCTGATACCTCAGTAGTTCTTAGACATTGGCTAATACCTCATACCATCAGAACAAGTCGAGAATATGCTCAAATCACAAGAACCTACAACTACAAGTCCAAGTACAAGCAATGCTAGCGGGGCTGGGTTGCGGACCGGCCCTACCCCAGATCTTAACGTTCCTAGTCCGAATATTGGAGTATACGGCGAGCGATGGCGCTATAACAATGATGCTCAACCGACGTTGAATGAAATGGGATTTTCGGCCACTGTTGGTATGGGAATGGGGCTTGATGACTTTCCCTCTACGTGGGAGATGATTGGTCTTGGGATTGAGGAACCATTGCCCCTCCAAGAGGTAGTTGATGAGTTGTATGTTTTTCGACAGGCTATTACATACATGAGCTTACATCGTCTAGGCATGAAATTTACTTCGAAATTATTCACCCTTCCCTCCCAATGATCCACAAATATCGGTACCTTGCTGCAATGAATCTGTAAGCAACTTTCTGGTCCCAAAATTGAACATTCTTTGATCTAACAGGCATTATATAGTGCGCCAAATCAACGGCCACCAGTTTCATTACGATATGCAATGTGGACGCTGGCAGCTTCCAGTTCAGAAAAATACATGGATCTTAAAGACCACTTCTATCAGCGAGCCCGAAAATACATGGAAATGGATACGCTGAAAGGATTTGGTGAAAGCATAATTTCTGTTTCGCATGCACAAGTTCATATTCTTTTAGCTTTTTACGAATTCAAAATGATGCACTTTCCTCGAGCTTGGATGAGCACTGGGGCTGCTATTAGATTATGTCAAATGTGAGTACCCAGAGTCTATGTGGAGCTTGTCCGCTAATCGACTGAAGGATGGGTCTACATAGACTTGATAAGCCTGGTTTAGAAGTCAAGCAGTGTCTACCACCACCGCGAGATTGGACAGAAAAGGAGGAGAGGCGTAGAACTTTTTGGATGGCCTTTTGCGAAGATCGGTATGCTAGTATCGGTACTGGCTGGCCTATGACCATCGATGAGAAGGATATCACATCGGACTTACCATCTTCAGAGGATGCTTTCAACATGAGTAGACCGGAAAGAACGCAAAGTTTGACTGATTCAATGAGTCCCCAGGGCGCCTCTAAGTTGTCACCATTCGCTGGTGTTGTTTTGATGGCGTCACTTTTTGGAAGAAATCTCCTACATCTACATCGTTCTGATCCTGGTCATCGTGATAACGACTTAAATGGGGAGTTTTGGAAGCGGCATCGACACATGGACAATATCCTTCTCAATACATCCCTCTCTTTACCTTTCCACCTTCGACTGCCTCACGGAATGGCTAATCCTAATAGTGTATTCTTAAATATGAATATTCATGCTTCTACCATCTGCCTACATCAAGCAGCAATATTTAAAGCTCAAAGCAATCGACTGCCTGATACTGTCGCCGCCGAAAGCAAAATCAGAGCCATCAGTGCTGCCAATGAGATCACAAGCATCATGCAGATGATCTCGCATATGGATCTATCAACTGTGAGCGCGTCGCAGAAACATAAACACACAGATTTGTTTGAAGTATTACTAACCAATTTATAGATGAATCCATTTATATGTTTCTGTCTCTACGTAGCCGCACGCGTTTTTGTGAAACACCTCAACGATACACCAAAAGATTCTCCAGTTTCGGATTCTCTAAGATTTCTCTTGAAAGCCATGAATGCCTTAAAGAAGAAGAATCCTTTGACAGAGTCCTTTCTTGTACAATTGGACGTTGATTTGGAGGCCATGGGAATGCGCAATAGTAAAAAAGATGGATCTTGGGATGAGACTTTGGTATGTCACATCAACGCCTTTCGATATCTATTAATCTAATGCATTTAGATGGGATCCAAGGAGACTGGGATGCCCGGAATGAATCCAACCACTACTGGAGCAAATAATCAATCTGGGTGTAACGTTGTGCGATTCGCAGAGGGAGGAGGTCCGGATGCCTTTCGAGTGATAGGCGACAGTCCCACTAACCCTCAAGAAACATCACGCAGTATTTCTGCCGATAACGAACAAGGGATTAGGAGAACGTCAACAAGCCCTATCGTTGATCCATTCCCTCGTGACTTCGACGTGGAACAGAGAGGCTGGCCTAAGTTGAACGGACAAACACAAGCTCGAGACTTGAGGCGAGGCGTACCTGTCAGTCAAAGCAGAGAATCAAACGGCAATACATACATCCACGATGTTTCAAACACCGGCATGAGAACGGGTCTATCTTCCAATACTGGCAATACTTCCACCCATCCAGCACTCAGATCCACGTCTGATAGTCGACCTCCTACTCTACAACATGGACAGAATACTACAAATACTGGATCCTATGAAACTCGTGCAGCACCAGATACCAATCGCGAAGTACGTCTCATGGATGCGTTTTTCTCGACACCTCCGGGATATAATAACATTCCAGCTGGGTCGAATATAACACCATCCGTATATAGTATGCCAGAAACGCCTGGGAGAACATATACGACTCCAGATCCGTGGCCGCAGCAGACGACTACGGGACTGACGCCGGTGGGGGAGGGGGTGTTTAGACAAATGATGGGGTTGGGACCCATGGATCCGATGGATATCTGGGAGGGGAATAACTGAGTTACTAACTTTATGAAATTTATCAGGTGATGGGTTCGGGTCTAGGTTTAGGTCTGGGCTGCTCGGATATAATGCGATATGATATGATGTGTTTTGAATTAGCTATGGATACAAATATGGTCCAGGAGAAATATCGAGGAAGGCAACATTGGCTTGGATTGACATTGGCGTTGGAATATCACATTGGCTTTGCTATGAGAACCTCTTTTTGGTTTAAGGGTAGAATCAGGTTGCAGCTGACATCATGGAGTATACTGTATAGAAGTATACCGTATACTTGATGGGCGAGGTTTGTATGATAGATATCTGATGTAATAATTTGGATTTAACACTTTATTTTGAAGATCCAAGATTCATCCAAAAACATTCAGTTTCATTGTCCTGTGTGCTTGCTAGCCCTGACTATATCGTATCATAAACGTAAAAGCACAGTGCAGAGATGACTGATGGCTGAATGGTGGTGAATGACTGAAGGGTTTCATCTGTTGTCTATCATTGAGTTGCTTCGAAAAAGTCAAGCCAATTCTCGAGGATATAGGATTCGTAGAACATGAGGTTACTTTGAGCATTCATTCAAGTCTAGTTGAGATATTGAGATACTGAGATATTGAAAATGTTTCGGTTACTTCTTGAGAACTTGGGAACTTTGAAATATTCATCTCTTGTGGGATTTTGAGGCATTTGGATCTTGAATATTTGCTATTTTCTATATGGGTGTGCTTATGTATGTGTATGTATGTATATACTGGTACATGTATAACTAGGTAGGAGCCTCGGAGGGGGTATTTTCTCTTGTTCTTGTTTGTTTTGGATTTTGGATTTTGGATTTTGGATTCGATACTTCTACTACTTTCGTACTTTTACAATCAGATGGTGAACTTGTGTATGTATATGTGTGTACGCACGAGGGAGGAAAGGTAAGATAGAAAGCTATTTTTGATTTAGTCTTCTTTTTCTTCTTGTTCTTGTTCTTGTTCTTGTTCTTGTTCCGGTTCCTGTTTTTTGAAGGGGGACTGGGAGACTGGGAGTTGTGAGTTTGGGGTTTGGGTTTTGAGTATGGTTATTTGTCTAGGTGTCTAGATGTCTGTCTCTTTGTCTGTTTAGTTAGTATATGGGTGGGTGAGATAGTAGGGGTACTTTTGTAGTTGCTAGTTTAGAGGGAGGGAGTGGGGAGAAGGGGGTAAAGAGTAGAGAGGAGGGAGTAATTCTACGCAGTGTTCCTTGATACACGTCCATGTACTAGTATTAGTACGTCTGGTCTTTGTAGAAAAGGTTTGCGTGGGGGTATCTTAGCTATCTCCCTAGGTGATGAGAATTTGTGGGTTTGTTGTGATGGTTTCCTTGGTTGCTTGGTTACTTACTTACTTGTGATTTGGATGATAGTTGGATGGTGGAATGGTGAGTAATTGTGACCGAGGGGTTTTATATCATAGGAGATTGGGGGAGGGGGCGTTTGTAGATGCTGGCTCGCTGGGTCATGTTATGTTCTATTATGTTATGTTGTATCACTTACATTAAATATCCCATAGATCCCGAAGATCACCATCGACGAAGCAGATACACCTAAGTTTAGTAGGTAAGAATAAAACGGAAGGGAAGTCTGATAGTGTGTGCATATCTATGTTAGTATCTATGTTAGTGAATAATGTAGATAGATACACAACGGCACTATAGCTCTATGTAAGAATCTGTTATAGGAAAGAGGGGTGAGGTGGTGAGGTGATGAATAGATGAAGATTGGATTGTGTGATGTTTATTTGGTGGGGGATGCTTTAGTCTGGGTTGGTTTAGTGTAGTTTGATATAGTATAAAGTTACCGGTAGTATAGATTATTAACATGTTATCTTATGCTAGGTAGGAATTAGGTATTTTGTAGGATTTGTTGTGATGTGTTTATTCCAAATTGATCGTGTTTACGAGCGTGTTGACTCGGTGGTCGAGAGGTGGTGGGTGGGATGAAGTGGGATGGAGTGGGATTGGCGAGTATGGATCGGGATTGCGGGCCGTGGGGGTTTGGGGAAGGGGATAGAGGGGAAGCTGAGAAGGCTGTGATTTTTTATTTTTTATTGGAAAGGCTATCAACTGGGTTGAAAGACTGAATTGCTTGTGGGCATTGTAAGCTAAGGTATATCACCCAGTCTGCCAATTCGGACTATGGGGCAGTCCGGAGTAGGTACCTATACTTGCGACGTAAGATAAGCGATCATTGAAGATAGACACGCAAGTCAGCACATAAAGCATGGGGTGTCAATAGGCATATCTTTGTTCGGTATTTGATATTGTACACGGTGTATAAAGAATACGTCTGTATACAAGTTGAAAAGCTTACAGCCAGCCTACATATACAGCTCCAATCCAAGGTATATCATGATAATTGAACCTCTATTTTGTTCTTCTCTTTCCGTGATTTCTCTCACGTGGAGTGACTACCCACTTATTGGGCTTGCGAACCTTTCTAGTTTTGTATCCTCCTTTGGCCTAGAGGTGAAGTAACGTTAGTGGTATCCTCGAAGTTTGAGGATAATATACATACCGGCATGCCCCATGGACTGACTGGATCGACGTTACCCTTCGATTTACCTCTTCCTCCTCCGTGTGGATGGTCGGCTATTGATATTGTGAGTAATCATACTTATATTGTGATTGGAATGGAAAACATACCAGCGTTCATAGCAAGACCTCTGACTGTTGGTCTAATGTTCAACCATCTTGAACGACCTGCTTTACCAAGTTGTCGATGTTGATGATGAGGATTACTAGCAATGCCCACAGTTGCACATGCATGCATACTGACCTTTCTCACCTCGCCACTCTGCAATCGCACAGTGACAAACCTTGGTCCCTTGTCGTTGTTAGATGTCTCATCATCTTTAGACACCACAACCGCATGTGTTCCTGCACTTCTACAGAAGACAGCACCTCTTCCTTTTGCGGAACCAACATTGTAGACAGTTGTACCAATAGGAATCATGTGTAAAGGTAAACAATTTCCTCTCCAAGCAGTCTTTGCAGCCAACACACCCGGGTCTATGAATCCTCCCATACTTTCCAATAAATCTCTTGGGATACCGGCTCGATAACTTTGTACTTTATCTCCAGCTCTCATGCCCTCTGCGGCAACGATATAACTCTTCCTACCAGTGGCTTCCTCATTCAGTAAAGCAATGTGTGCACTCCTTCCTGGATCATGTTCGATACGTTCCACTGTGTGTACACCTGGTGTCATTCGATGAAAGTCGACAGTACGAATTCTCCTCTTGTGACCACCACCTCGGTGTCTAACTGTGACGCGACCACTATTATTCCTTCCACCCTTTCCATGACCCTTCTTTGCGAAAGTCAAAGGTAAAAATGGTCTTCCTTTCCATAGATGATCGTTTATAGGTCTCTTTAAATGTCTGACACCAGGCGTTCTTGGTTTGTATGTTCGCATAGCAAAAGTAGCACTACTGCTATCTGAGGAAGATACAGGAGGTGCAAAGCCTGCTGTCACAGCTTGTGCTGCAGGTACTTCGGCTTGCACCGGTTCGACGACCGTTGCGTATGTGCGAGGGAAGGCTCGAAGTATGGGGAGAGAATTGCATGTTGCCCTTGGACATTGTCGCGCAAATATCCTGGGTTGAAACATGATGTATGTTGTATATCGAATTGGTCACCACAATTCGATTGATCTTCTCGCCACGGCGAGAGCCTCTGGAAACAGTGGTTGCGAGTTTTCAAGGTCGATGTCGTTCGTGGTTGAAGGTATCTCAAACTTCTTCCGGAAAGGCTATCTCCCGATTAAGTTTAGTTTGAGTGTTGGATGTGGTGATAAGTTGCAGCAGAGTTGAGAAGTAAAATTTCAATCATTACATCAGATAAAAAATTGAAGTGAGTATTGTATGTGAGTAGAAGCATGAAATACAGTATGAAACTCACCCAAGATATATACAATGATAGATTGTATATCAAGAGGTCAATATCTGAAGTGAATTCATCCAGCAGGAATTATTACCTTATCATGCCCAGTACCTATACAACTAGGTACCTAGGTAGGTAGGTAGACATTTTCTTAGGTGCGGCTTCATCACCAGCCACATCACATTCTAGCCACACGTGGACTCTCGAGACGGGATAGACGGTACCAAGCCACCCGAAATCGAAATGGATACATGTTGCGTAGTGGTTGCCTAGGAGAAGATGCAAATCAACAAAAGCTTTGGCGTTTAACTTGCTTCCCAAGTTTCAATTCGAGTAAAGTTATGTCAACTGTGGATCTATATATGATGTTGTTGTGACCGACCAAAAGTCTTCAATTTGTAGGTAAACTGGATTACAGTAAATACCGTAATACGGTATATACAGTATATACAGTGGTCTGTGGTAAATGATATTGTAAAGACTTCTTTTGGTCATTCCGTCCGTAATAAGTCACTTCACTTAATTCAAGCATATCTACGACATCTCCTCTATCTCTCCCTTTCGCCCTGCCCTTACTCCTCAAACCATCCGTTCCCTCATTCGTTCTTCCAAAATCCTTGTTACTGTACCAGCGAAGAAAAGAACCCGCGAAGGAAGCACGAATACGCTAAAATATCCAATCCCCACCCATAACAAGCGAGTGCCTGGCAACCTTGGAAGAGCTCTGACAACCTCTTTAGAAAGTCTTCCCTCTCACTCGCACACATTTAACTTCATTCACTCCATCCACATCCACATCCACCCATAAACATCAGCACTTCCTACCAAGATAAACAATACATTCGACACTCGACCTTCGACCTTCGATCTCCGACCTCTTCATGTCCTTGATAACCTCTTAGGTATTTGCCAGCTTTAGGTCCTTTTCGGTATCTTGTTTGTTCAGTCGTTCAACTTCTTCAGTTTCGTGTACAATTCCAAAAAAAAAACCCCCCGAGTTCAATTCTTCATCTGTCAACAAAGTCGATATATCACAACCCCATTCTTTATATCGTCGATTACACGTTGGGATCTATCGAAGATTCAATACATCTTCATGTATGTATACCCTTAACCTGATACATCTTGACATCGTCGAGCTTTCGCGTCTTGATGTCGTCGTCTTCAGCATTCACCACGCGCTTTCCAACATTCATACCGCGTTTTGCTGACCATCATCTTTTTTAGCGACCCACCATCATCCTCTCCACAACACTCCACACATAATAGTTAATACAACAACACATCGTCAAATATGCCAGTTGTATGTACCCCAGAAACCACATTGTTCGATTCCAGATCTATGCATCTGCTCAATTGATTTTCCAATTGGTTCATGCTAATCATGTATGCATACAGAGTCGAGCAACTAGTCGTAGGGCTCCTACAAATGAGAACGATGAGAACGTAGCTGGTGTCACGACCCGTCTTACTAGATCTAAATCTGCAGCATTTACTACGGAAGAAGTTACCGGTGCCGTCAAGAAGCCACTTGCAACCAAGAAATCAACTACCACTGCACAGCCGGCCCGAAAGCGGGCAGCCTTGGGAGATGTTAGCAATGTTGCCAAGGGAGGAGATGCAGTCGAGGCAAAGAAGCCTGCTGCTAAGAGCGGACTAGTTTCGAAAGCTTCACAACCAACTGGCGTCACCAAGAATAGTACACGATCAGCCCTCGGAGCTAAGGATACAAACAAGAAGTCGTTGAGTAAGGCTGCTGGATCTGGAGTAATGAAGAGAAAGACCACTGCTGCTTCGATAGCTGCTGCGGTAAAGGAAGAAGCTCCCGTCGAAGACGAACAACCATCCCGAAAGAAGGTTCACATTGAAGCAGAAAAGCAAACTAAGGTTGTCGTTGAAGAAAAGGAGAATGAGGTGGAGGCAGAGGCTGTCGTTGAGCCGGAGCCAAAGGAATCCGTCAGACTTGAGTTTGCCGAAGGTGTACGCGACTTGGATGCTGAAGACACCGATGACCCTTTGATGGTGGCTGAGTATGTCGTTGAAATCTTCGAATACTTGAAGAAGTTGGAGATTGCTACCAAACCCAATGAAAAGTACATGGCACATCAAGAAGATCTGGAGTGGAAGATGCGTGGCATTCTCGTCGATTGGCTCATTGAAGTTCACACACGCTTTCACCTCCTCCCAGAAACCTTGTTCCTTGCCGTCAACATCATCGACCGCTTCCTTTCCACCAAAGTTGTTCAACTCGATCGTCTTCAGCTCGTTGGTGTTACTGCAATGTTCATTGCTTCTAAGTACGAAGAAGTCCTCTCACCTCACGTCGCCAACTTCCGTCACGTCGCCGATGATGGATTCACTGAAGCAGAGATCCTTAGTGCCGAGCGTTATGTTCTTAGTGCTCTCAACTATGATTTGAGCTATCCCAACCCAATGAACTTCTTGAGACGTATCTCCAAGGCAGATGACTATGATATCCAGACCCGCACTTTGGGCAAGTACTTGATGGAAATCAGTCTCCTTGATCATCGATTCATGAAGTATCTCCCTAGTCACGTCGCTGCTGCATCCATGTATCTCGCCCGCCTCATTCTCGAGAAAGGTGAATGGGACCCAATGTTGACTCACTACTCTGGTTACAGCGAGGATGAGATTGAGCCTGTCTTCCAATTGATGGTTGATTACCTTGCTCGTCCTGTTACTCACGAGGCATTCTTCAAGAAGTATGCTAGCAAGAAATTTTTGAAGGGTATGTAATTCCATATGAACGAACAAACATCTTGACTACGACTAACATTCCACTAGCTTCAATTCTTACCAGATCATGGGCCAAGAAACATGCCTCCCTTTATGGTATTGACGTTACCCAACCTTTAGAATCTTCATAGAACATATGATACTTAATCATATTTACTACCTTCATCGTGCTCTTCCCTGGATACACCCTTTGCATTTTAATTGGTTGGGATACGAAATGGTACTTACGACGGATGATCTTATGGATTCGACTACCAATATACCACACACAATCCTGGTCTATAATGGTTCGACTTTGGTTTATGTCGATGCTTCTCGAGGCGTTGAGTGATATCTTTCTTGTTGTCTTTGGTTTGGTGCATGCTCTTTTTTTTTTAACATAAATTGGCGTTTGGGTCTGTACGCAAATGGATCTTACAGTATTGGCGTCTGGGAAACTGATATCGTCTTCACAAATTGCTTCACGTCTTGCAGCAAACATTCTGGCTACAAGCATATAGCAGAACATCACTGGCAGCTGCGCTCTATTGCTGTCATGAGTTGTGAAAGCAGGAAAAGGGTATTATTTCTTGTGTTGATTACATGAGATAGCTTTTGTAAATATATTCTAGGCGCAATGATAAACACTAAAATTATAAAAATAAATATGAATGAACTATAGTTTGCAGAGTGTGATTGAATTGTCCGTATTTATGTGATATTCATAGGGGCTGAAGCGAACCTGCGAATTCACTCGAGCTGTCTTGGTCTCGAGCTTGGTGCAGGTACATTGATTTTGTGTGTTGATAAGATAGATAGGTAGGTACGTAAGGTAGATCTCCATCCCCACTGTACCTTGTCAGCCGAAACCCTCAAAGTCGGCTGATGCGTAAATACCTACCTAAGGAATTACCGTATGTTTATCGACTGTTCCGACAACTACAATCAATCGTTGGTACTACAATCAATCCTCCCTGATAGCTACTCGGCGAAACGCATAGAAACACTTATTTGCATCGGAGGATCTAGTCCAGATCGACCTTGGATGACGATGATCTTTAGCCTCTAAGTTTCCCCGCTTTGCCCCGGCTTACGATTGGAAATGTGGAAGTTGCTAGTAAATAGCATTCCTTATTTCCAATTGCCATTATGAGATCGCCTCGTTCCGCGAGTCCAAGTGGACTAAGTGAATCTAACTATTTTCCCTTGAAATTAGGGCAGGGACAAGTCGTATAATATGTCAACCAAGGCTATCAGAGAGTCAAATTGCGTTGGCACGGTGTCTTGGGCGCAGTTTCCTGTCACAGCTTAAAGTTGTGTTCACTTCATTGTTTACCTGCCCAGGTATCTACGTAGCCAGGTGGGTGGCTAGGTATGCATGAACGCATCAATCAAATTCACCATTCTTTTCTTATCTTCATCGTCTTACTGTTTGCTGTCTCGAGACCATATCGACTCATACACAACGGACGACCCTAACCTTTCTGAATCAAGGTTATCTCTCATTCCCTATGCCCAGGTGCAGGATTTCGCAAGAAAGCTTGAATTTTCAATCTCGCCTAATAAATAACCCAGATCCGATTCTGTATTAGGCTTAGTGTCAACCGACGGAGGTGAGTTTACAATGTAGGTAATGCTTGCTATCGAGACGATCCTCCTATCTCATAAGTTACGACAATTCAACTACACGGGTAATACTCACTGGTGGTTGTTTGCTTCTGTCCAATCGACAAACCTCCAGCTAATCAGGCTAAAATGTTCCCGCTAAGCAAGTGCGAAGTTAGATATGGATGTTGATATCATCGCATTGTTTGACCTTCCATCCCGGTAAATCAACTGACCTTACTAACCCAGCACATACATACATAACTCATATGCCATGCGCACTTATTTTTCTTGGAACAGCGAGGATACTTCTCTTAAGAATAAAGGGAAGGCAGTGTGTGCTACTCCAGAGAACGAAAGTGAAAGTACAGTTCCGCTCTTAAACATGGATTCCTTAAACATGAAAGATGGGAAGATTGAAAATGGTGTGGCAAATTCTGAACACGTTAAAGGCTTTACGTCTCCAACAAGGCGAAGTGTGAAGTTCTTTATTCCTTCAATCCGGATTAATTTATACAAGTCAAATATATGCTAATTGAACGAAATAGATAGTTCACGCGACGGTCGTATTTCACCAGTCTCGAAGACATCGACTGACGCCGAAGGATTGGCCGCCGATCCAATTCCCGATGGCTTATCGATACAGGACAAAAAGATCTTGTTGGTTGCAAGAGAGATTGATCTCATGGGCATGGGAAGATATCAGTGGTATATATGGTCCTTATGTGGCTTGGGGTACTTTTTGGATCTACTCTGGGCGCAGGCATTCGGGTTGATTGCACCGGTTATGCAGAGGGAAATGGGAATTTCTGGTATGTAACGTCTCTCATTGGGTTGATCCCTGAGCTTGGAAAGCTGAGTTTGATATGGGCTCCGTGTTGTGTCAAAGATAAGACAGGTCGCACTGGTTGAGGGGGATCTTGTACGACTAGATGTAGTGCTGACTAAATCATGCAGATACTCAATTGGGTCGTTTGTTTACAGTGGTCAACTCTGGTTTGACCGTGGGAGCTTTTGTGTGGGGTGTCTTGGTAGATATAATTGGTGAGTTCCCAGCCCATATCACTTTACATTCTTTCGTGACTCACTTCATCTTTCAGGTCGCAAATGGGCGTTCAATGGCACGGTCTTCATTACCTCGATCTTTGGTATTTGCATGGCGATACCCAGTTCTTACAATGGTCTTCTTGTGTTAGTTGCCTTTACAGGCTTTGGCATTGGAGGAAATATTCCTATAGACACAACAATTGCTTTGGAATTCCTTCCCCAGGTGACCCCCACGCGACTTCATGCTAGAGGAGCTGCATTTAACACTCAACATAGAAAAACCGTTTCATGTTGGCACTCCTGTCCATTTTCCAACCGATTGGAGTTGTAGTTTGCAGCGGCATCGCTTACGCATATATACCCAATTTTTCCTGCGCGACAAACCTACAATCATGCAAAGCAAAAGACTTGACACCAGGAGCTGAATGCTGTTCCAAGAAAGATAACATGGGATGGAGATATCTCCTATATACACTAGGCTCGATATCCTTGCTTGTATTTTTAATGCGATTCTTCATATTCACCTTCCAAGAGTCGCCCAAGTATCTTCTCAGCAAGAACAGGGACGTTGACGCTTTCAGAGTGTTAGAAAGTATCGCAAAAACGAACAGAAAAACTTTGACCATTACAATCGAGGACTTTAGGGCTTTGGATAATACGGATGAGGTTCAGTCTCCCACCTCCACTACGTCTGGCAACGCTCGCCTTCAAGGTGGAAAAGTTCCTGAAGGTTTAACTTTGCTTCAAAAGATCAAAAGGGAAGGTAAAAGGATTGGGGTTCTCTTCAAAACAAAGCAAATGGCACAGGTCACCATATTGGTATGGATAATATACGCATTTGACTATTGGGGATTTTCCGTCTCAGGTATATATTCTCACACTTCTTTGATTACATAAAAACATGCTCATATCTTAAAGGTGCATTTCTTCCTACAATTTTGGCACGGAAGGGTCTGGAAAAAGCAGTTGGATACTCCGCAACTTACCGCAACTTTGTCATCATTTACACGCCGGGTATCGTAGGTGTGGGCTTAGGAGCCTTGATGGTAAAAGTATCTCGAACAGGAAGACGAATTTCCATGATCGTTTCATCTGCATTAATGGCTACATCATTCTTTCTCTTCGCGGCAGTTAATACTCAAGCAGCGAACGTGGGGCTTAGCGTCATGGAGTATTTCTTTCAATCTATGTTCAACTCGGTACTCTATGGCTGGACACCAGAAGCTTTTCCGGCATCGGTAAGAGGAACGGCTAGTGGAATGGCTAGTTGTTGGGGAAGGTTGTTCTCTATCTTTAGCCCATTGATTGCAGCGAAGCTGTTGGCTATGAGCCTTAATGGACCATTGTTTTTGGCTGGAGCGGGTACCTTTGTGGCCTGCTTGGGAGTTATCTGCTTGCCGGATAATGTGATGAAGGGGAATGAGATTTAGGAAAACTGGTGGGATAGGGACAGGAACGAAAATACCCAATAGGATAAAGAGATGTGTTGCAGTGAGCATACGGCGGCTTTAGAGGGAGTTGAGAGTGTTATTATGAAGACTTCTACATCGTTGAAGGCGATGAGATATCATAATCTTCATGCCAACGGAGATGCAGCGATGGAATACCGATCTTCAGAAAAGTAGAAAGCCACCATAGTGTTAAGAAGCTTAATAATATTGTGAATATGAAAGCTTGAATTTAAACTTCCCTTCGATTGCTTGAGTCGATTCTAATACATCAAGACTTCTTGCCTTACACGGGCCCTCGGTGGAAGGGAGAGGGAGAAGAAAGCGTCAATGCTCTTCTTCTTGACATCTCGTTTCCAAATCATTATATATTTCAATATCTCCAAGTTGCAGCGAGCCTTGGGGCTTGCCGTTGATAGATGTGCAAATTCAATCATACAATATAATAAGCCAACCTTTGGTTTCTTTCAAATCTATGACTCCATGTAACACATTATGTTCTACTTCCCAGATGTTGATTGTGTTAAAGGGGCTGGTTCACCGTTCCAGATTCTTGTAGAGAGAAGCAAGGTCCGTGCACGACTTTCCTTTCCGCTTTTCTGCCCCTCCACCATATTAAAGCAGGACAACGACATTCAGCCTTTCCACCCTCCTTCGTAAATATCGACCTAGCAAGCACATGTTATAGGCAACTCTAAACCAAGCGATATCCTTTTCGAGTCACGATCAAGGCAGCTTTCGCACCAGCGATTTCCTTACGAGCGAGTGCACCAAGTGCGACATTTATCATGGAGGATTTTAATAGCGAAACGGACAGCGATTATACCAGTTATTGGAGAGATTGGGTATGTTATAATTTCATTTTTCTGGCTTGAAGTTTTTGGTGCTTTAGGGGAGATTGATGGGACCGGTTGTGTGTCGTTCCCTGCTGGCCATTTTGCGCGCCTCGATTTATCTAAACGGCAGGAGGTCGCGCTTTCCTATCGACGACAGTCACCCACGAAAAAACTCATTCTATGCGGAAAGGACCATGTTAAGGAAGACATTGCCGACCGATACGGAAGGAACGGAGAAGGCATTTGATAAAAGTGAATGGAAACTGCGGCGTCGAAGATTATTCCTGGCGATCTCATCATTAAACTGGCATCTCACCGATCATTGTGAAAGGTGGAATCGATAGCCACGCACAATGTTATATGGTCCGCCTGCGACTGGTCTGGACTACCGGTTGTATCAAACTCCTCAATCTTCGCCATCACCAGGTCCTCCGCCAACTCTATCACTCAGGCGGGCTAAGAGAGCGAAGAGAGCGAAGAGAGCCAGGAGAGGCAAGAAACGTCGAGCTTCCGAAGTTGAAGGTCTTGAGGAATCAACACGCAAAACAAAACATCGTCTCCGCTCTCTGGCAGATACTGAAGCAATGGAAAGCCTCCATGAGCTTTTACCAGCTCTTTCTAACCAACATGTGGAAGTCTGGGTCTCAAATGTACGAGCGGGACCACCTCCACCGTACAGCAGCCACGATTTTGATTCGCGCGGTCCCCTCGGGTCGAGTCTCACCTCCGAGTTCATGCACCAAAGATTCGCACCACGGGTTCTTCAGCCATATTTCATATCAGTTTACATACATTGGCAGACTATATTTACTAATGCTTTCTTTTCCTTTAGTTCATTTCGTCTCGCGGTAATGAGTACTTTTGCGAAATCGACGAAGATTATCTCACCGATCGATTCAACCTTACAGGACTTCAAACGGAGGTTCAATATTATCAATATGCGTTGGATTTAGTGACGGATGTCTTTGATTTAGATTGTGATGATGAGATGAGAGAGACTATTGAGAAGTCAGCGAGACATCTATACGGTTTAGTTCATGCTCGTTATATCGTTACGACTAGAGGATTGGCAAAAATGGTGAGTACTTCTTTTAATCTTCGTCATGAAAGTCGTGCTAATCAAAATCATTTCAGCTTGAGAAATACAAGAAAGCTGACTTTGGAAAATGTCCTCGAGTTATGTGTAAATCACATCCACTTCTCCCCATGGGACAAAGCGACAATCCAAACATCAAAGCCGTCAAACTTTACTGTTCTCGTTGTGAAGATATCTATAATCCTAAATCCTCTCGACATTCTGCAATTGATGGCGCATATTTCGGAACATCGTTTCACAATATTTTATTCCAGGTCTATCCGGCTATGATCCCAGCGAAGAGTTATGATCGATATGTACCACGAATTTATGGATTCAAAGTACATGCGCCTGCAGCTTTGATTCGATGGCAAAATGGAGAAAGGGATGAGATGAGGAGACGTTTGAGGAAGTTGGATATTGATAGTGGATTCAAGGATGAGGATGGTGAGGAAGTAGAGGAGAGTGAAGAAGAAGATGACGATGAGGATCTTGAGGGATTGGACAAAGAGCTGGTGGAGAATGGAGTTCAGCCAGAGGGCGTGCCTAATGTTGGGAGATATTAGATGTTTTTTCTCGGTATAGGAATAGGGGAAGAAGGAAAAGAGGTAGCGAGGATAAGAAAGGAAAACTTGGTCAGATTTCTATTCGTGTCGATAGGAAGAATTGTCTTTGCTTCTTTTTGATGGTTTCTTAGGGAAGATATCTTGTGGATTAGCCATAAATGGATGGATGGATGGTGGGATGCATTGCGGGAGTCTTAGCTGGGGCGCATTATTGTTTGTTCTTCGTTGTATCGTATTGCTCGGAAGGGAGAGGGGAAGACTTATAGTGAGGATTGGGTTCGTTCTTCGAAAGATGGATGGATGGATTGAGATAATAGAACGCAAAGAAAGGATTGATTGAGAATTATAGTCTTTTTATCATTATTATGCATTAGATGTGAAGTTTTGTATGAGGCTCAGGGTGGAATGTGTAAAGGTGCGGTATGACGTGGTGTAATGTAGAGTGAGGTGGTTGAGATTTACTAGTTCCTGTAAAAGTATTCTGATGTTGCATTAAGGGGAGGGAAATGAAGGAGGCGAGTTGAGACTATGAGATGTTATTATATAACTTGTCATGTAACAAACATCATTATGATTAATTTATTCCCACTCTACCCCGTTCCATACATGCACTTAAAGATATCTAAAAGCCTACATCTACATTACATCATTACACAATAAATCCTCTCTCACTTCCCCTCTTTCATCCTATCCTTCCCTCCCATTCTCATCCATCCCACCCCTGCGCCCCTCCTACCCCAAAGTCGCCCCCGTATCCGTACGATACCAATTCTTCATCTCATCACCCAAACAGGTCCCCACGGTCACCGGTCGATACCCCTTCGCCACCGCCGTCTTCAACATATACTCGACTAGCACCTGCGACGTCTGATTGTGGATATCGTGGGAGATGACGAGGGGGGAGTCGGTGCGGGGATTCGAGGCGTTGAGGGAGGTGGAGAAAACGGCTTGCGCGTTGTGGATGAGGGTGGGGGAGTCGTTGAGGTAGTCTTGTGTGTCGAGGGACTAGAGGGGGGGAAGGGAAGTGTTAGTTAGTTAGTTAGTGAGTTTGGGGGGGAGGGAAAGGACGTACGAAATATGTAATATGGTATCCCAAATCTTCCATATCGGCTTCGCATCCGCATTCAGCGGTGCAGCTTGAATATGGTGGTCTCATGTACGTAGGGATAACACCCACGACATTCCTCAGGGCCATTTCATTTTTCCACATTTCGTTTTTGCGCTGTGCGCTGGTGATATTGCAGAGATCAGGGTGGCTCCACGTGTGCGATGCGATTTGATGTCCATTATCATACATGCGTTTGATGAGGGCGGGCCACTCGAGAGAAGTGTTGTCGATGTGTCCTTTACAATTGTTGTTGCCGGTGATAAAGAAGGTTGCGGTGGCGTTGTATTGGGCGAGGAGATCGAGAATGTGGGAGGTGTAGATGTAGGGGCCGTCGTCGAAGGTGAGAGCCATGTCGCCGGGAGTGGCACAGTCGTAGATACCGTCGCTGCCGTAGAGGACGGAGCCGAGGGCTAGACGGGCGATGGTGGAAGTGTTTGCTCCGGTGGGGATGGCGTTGGCGTCGCAGGCGGGTCCGTAGTCGAATTGACAGTCGGGAGCGGTACAGTATTCTGGGGGTGATTAGAGGATTTGTATGGGTATGTGTATGTGACGAGTGAGGGGAAATACCTTCGGTGGTGCCACAATATCCAGCAAGAGAACAACATTCGTCTGATGCGCAAGTACCGACACCTGGTCCACAGAGACTATCTGTGCTGGTACCTGCTTTGCTTCCTGATGTAGTGGTATTCGTAGCATTATTACAAACTCCATACGCTGATTGACAGCCTGAAGTAGCAGCACAATAATCCGACGTAGTTCCACAATATCCACTGGAGATTTATTAACACCAACTCTTCCAACTCTATGACGAGTATCATATGGTTTCTTACTTATTAGAACAGCATTCTCCATTCGGACAGCTATATCCCTGAGTCCCAGCCCCGATTATCCCACATGTCTCATCGGTACTAACTACTTTACTTCCGGTAAGAGCAACTGGACTTGTACAATTTCCATATTGGGATTGACAGCCATTGCTACTTAGACAATAATCGTCTGTTTTGCCGCAAAATCCATTGGAGGAACAACAGGGAAGACTTGAGGGGCAGGTATAGCCATCTGCTCCTGCTCCTGCGGTACCGTTGAATCCACAGGTGTTATTTGGAGATATCGCTCGGGGGAAGGTGGGAGCTTTAGAGAAGTGAGCTGAGGTGGTGGATACGAGGCCTAGGAGAATGATCGAAGTGATTTGAAGGGGATGCATTTGGAATTCGTGTTTGATTTACCCTTATTTTGAATTCTTTTCAAGATAATGGTAAATAGGTAATATGACACTAGAAAGAAAGAGAGGAAACGAATGTATAGATCACGTTTCAACGAGAGTAACAATTGGCCATTGGAAGAAAGATGACAGAATCGAAAGAAACATTAGACTAAAGAAGTTTCCTACTTATATACCGGTGAAGTACCTTTCTGACATCTCATACCAAGCTTTCAAAAGTCTCGTACAAAAAGATCCAAGCATCGAACTCGAAACAACCGCGGCAGGCAGTGCAAGAAGATATTCATGATGATCGAGGCCTTCATATTTTGTTTCGGTATGAAAAAGGAAAAGGGAAAGAAATAAGCTTCCAATGGGAAGATATGATTCAAGTCTCAGGATATACAGATCCGATGTTTTGTGTGTGAGGGAGTCGGTAATGAGCTTTGACGTTTTACACTTGTAATGGTGACACCCACATCTTCCCTCATCCTCGACTTTCGCGTCTTGCGAAGTCTGAAATCTTATTGAGAAGCGGGATGGACCATCAGACGATGATGAAACGCTGATGGATGAATATCAGTGGAAATCTTGAAGATCACGTTGTGAGCTTACTGCGGGACACGAGATTTGAAGTTTGGATCGTGGAAGATGGAGAGGAATTGGAGCTGGTGAAACGAGCTGATGACGACGAGGAGTCCGAGTTATTGTGTTTAGCTTGGCGTCTGATTTTGTGAATGATGAAGGTATCTATCCAACATACATTAGGCGCCGTTGGTATATTTTGCTGGCCTATTGATGGTATTATATACAATGAGTGCAAGAGAAAGTCTTTGAGTTGTTCGAACGTTTCCAAATTCATTTTCCGTGGTGTCACGTGTGTGTCACGTTTTGCAACATTCATCGTCCTTAAAGACTGAAACCCCTTCAAGTTTCAATCGCAAAATTATTAATCCGTGCCGAATTCGGACCTTTCTTCAAGAGCGGGGAATCACAAAGGGCATCTATGCATATCGCATACCTAGCACTCCACTCCGCAGGCATCTTGAATACCACCTTCCGCAGTTGAACATCTCGAACAAAATCTAAAAACGTCATAGGATCGACAGAGGTACCATTGTTCCATTAATCATCTCTACATCAAACAAACATCTACGTCACAGCTATGGTGGCGCCAAAGAGATGAATGATGAGGCAAGTGATCTTGTTAAGTAAACACAGACGTGTAGGTGAACTTCTATTTATTATTCTCCTTTCATATCAATAATGTTCTCTCGAACTCTTCAATCATCATTCAGATCTTCAGCACGATTATCACAGCTCTCCTCACAACTTCAAAGACGAACCATGGCCTCAATCACTTCCCACAAGCTTAACACTGGAGCTACCATTCCTGCCATTGGGTTTGGTACTTGGCAGGATAAGGATTCTCAAGAGGATGCAGTTACAGAGGCTTTGAAGGCGGGATATAGACATATCGATACTGTATGTATTATCATCTCAGGATTCCATTATCAATCAATGGATAATATGCTAACCCCATACCTCTTCTAGGCTAGAGTTTACGGTACTGAACCAGCTTGCGGAGCTGCAATCAAGAAATCTGGCGTTCCTCGTTCCGAACTCTTCATTACTACTAAATTATGGAACAACAAGCACAAACCAGAAGATGTCGAAGCGGCTCTTGATGCTTCATTAAAAGATTTGGATTTGGATTATGTGGATTTGTTCTTGATGCATTGGCCATCTGCATTCAAGCCAGGCGATGAATTAATGCCAAAGGTGGATGGAAAGATGCAAACAGCAGATATCTCATACGTTGATACATATAAAGCTATGGAAAAGCTTATTGATACTGGAAAGACTAAGGCTATTGGTATCTCCAATTTTTCAAGAGGAGAGTTGGAACATTTATTGAAGGAGACTTCTGTGGTTCCTGCAGCTCATCAATTGGAACTTCATCCATGGTTACAACAGACTGAATTCTGTAAATTCAACAAGAGCAAAGGTATTCACATCACACAGTATTCTCCGTTTGGAAATCAAAATGAAATTTATGATGCCGGAAAGGGTATTGGCAAGTTGATGGTAAGATTGATTCAATCCAAATTGTTCTATGCTTTACTAACATGTTTTCAGGATGATCCAACTATCGTTGAAATCGGCAAAAAGTACAACAAGTCTGGAGCACAAGTAGCCTTAGCTTGGGGTATTGCACATGGTCACTCGGTTATTCCCAAATCCAAGACACCTTCACGCATCAAGTCTAACTTGGAGGGAGACTTCAAACTTGATGCTGAAGACTTGAAGAAGTTGGATGGTTTGGATAAAAAGTTGAGATTCAATGATGCTAGTAAAGGATTCGGATACAACTTCTATTCGGATCTAGATGGAAAGAAGAATTAAGAGAACAAGAAATCAGACGTAATATAGTAATGTTGCTTTCATCAACAGTTCATGATTCCCTACTTTCCGTCCTACATCGTTGCCTCGGGAATATACATGGCCGGATTTAGAAAAATCAATATTTCAGCCACAACGCCCATGTTTCACATCCTGTCAAATTTGAGAATAAGTGGTAGAAAATGTTTTCTCATACATCCCTTCATGCGGATACTCATCAATATAACACAAAGTTGTGCCCCGAACCCCGAGCTTTGAAGCAGAAAAAACGCACCACACTGAGCGTTCTTGATTTTTCTCCAAGTAGTAATTCACATACCCGACCCGTACCTGTCCACTTGCATGAACCTTCAAACCATCACTATTTCTTCCTTTTCGCCCCAAGCAATTATTGGTCAAAATTGGTATCACAAGAGAAGCAAGACCATACAAGACATTTCCTTTTCCGCAATTTGGTCATACACAGTGTTGAAGAGTGATACACACTTCGTGTTTATTATCAGGGGCTTGTACAAGTATTCCAAATGTGGAGATTGAGGGCTTTGTTTTGATATGTCTTTGTGTCATTTCTCTTCTCTTTTTCTCTTCTTCTCTTCTGAAAGATATACTTTTCACTTGCGGATACGAAAAGTTTTTAGGAATTTTTGAGGTACTTTCGATAGATTCATCGGATATCACGTTCGCTGGGTAATCGCATTATGTATATCAATCTTTTGACGGCGGCTAGTTTTTTTGCTGTGGTGCTTGCGAGCCCGCAGTTGGAGAGACGACAGGATGTTGATTCGTATGTTTTCTGATCTCTTCTTCTTTCTCAATGGTTCTTTCTTCCCATTCCCCCTTCAAATCTCAATCCTCATCCTACCACTCAATAGCTAACTTCCTCCTCACCCCACAGCTCCGCCATCGCTTCCAGAATTTCCTCTCTCTCCTCCGCCCTCATCCCCAACCCATCCCTCGCCGCCCAACTAAGCAGCATCCCCGCCTCCGTCCAATCCCTCCAATCCTCTCCCTCCGGCTTCGCACAACTCGAACAAGAATTCATCAGTTCCTTCCCCGCTTGGTATACTTTCCTCTCCCCCGCCGCCCAAACCTACATTCTCAGCGCCGGCCCTGCAAAAGCCAGCATTTTCTCTCTCGAATCCCTCTTATCCGCTGCATCCGCATCCGCACCCGTTACTACCTCCGCCCCCGCCGCCCCAACCATCACCGCTCCCCTCACCGGCATCATCAACGGAACCACCGCGACCCTCATCCCGATCACGGGCTCAGGAGGCCTAACAACTGCGAGCGGAAATAGTACGGTGACGACGAAGAAATTAAGTGCATCGGCTACGACGGAGACGGAAACTGGGACGGGAGCGAAAACTACGGAGTCGAGTGCGAAGACGAGTGAGACGGGGAAGAACGGGGGGGGGACACCAAGTCCCATTCAGAGCTCGAGTAAGGCCGGGGCGGCGCAGGTTACGGGGGTGTTGGGGGGAGTGCTGGTGGGGGCGGTGGGGTTGGTGTGGGTTTTGTAGGGGGAGGTGGGATGAGGGGGTGAGTTTTTTTTGGTGTGTGATATGGTGAGGTGAAGTGAGGCGATTGTTGATGGGGATGGAATGTAATTTGATGACCTGATTAGCGGCTAGTCCGAGTCGCTTATCTTTCTTTTAATATATCTTCATTATCTTTTATTATATCCTTGACCGAAGTATCATATCGAATGCCATTCAGTGTATTTGGGAATCTGCTCGTGATTAAAAGTGCGTAAATCATGCATCCCTTCTCGAACCATACTCATGCTTCAAGAGATTCACAAGTGACTTAAGGAGTAGTAAGACTTATACGAAAGGAAACTCAATGAACATATAATCGGTTTGTATTTATTTCGGTGTATCCCTAAACGCAGATTTGAATCCCTGGAAATATCCCTTCCTAAACGGATTCAATTCATCAGCAGTAACACCCGACCCATTAGCTGTCCTCTCACGGATTTGTTCAGGATCGACCATTGAATCCGGTATTCTCTTATATGTAATAAGTCTTCTTGACCCTATTTCTGTATTAACGCTCCGCTATTTACTATTTGTATGAGAGGAGAGATACTTACATTTATTAAAAGCTTGTGTGCAAACACTTGTAATCTGTAAACAGGGATGAGTTGGGATTTTAATTTCTTGATCCTCGTCATTTGCAGTTGGCATCCAGAAGGATAGACGACCATTATCTACGAGGGAGATGGCTGCGAAATCAAGAATATCGTCTAGCATGGCGAGGAAGGAATATGGTTTCTTGGGTGGGATGTAGGCGTCTTGTCTGGAATGTGGGTTAGCATCATTTCTAGGAGAATTGTCACAAAGAAAGAAAGGTATCTATACAAATGATGAGGTTGTGTTTCGCCTTCTAACATAATAGGAACTTTAGGTTTCGTGGGGTCCCTATTCCCTAGTACTTTTAAACCTTCTCTTACACCGTAGGGCGGATCGCATAAAATCCCATCGAATAATCTCGCGCCTCTCAAAGGAGTATTTGTGAGATCGGCCACAAACGTATCTCCAAATTGATTCGTGAGGCCATATTGCACAAAATTCGAATGTAGATTTCGCGTTTCCTTTCCTCGGATACTTCGCCCGTCAATATCGCTTCCGAAAGCAAGAGCGCCGAAATGTGCACATGCGACGGGGAAACTACCCGTTCCGACAAAGGGATCGTAGAAGAGTTTTGCAGGGGCTGCTAATGTGATGTTGGCGGTGACTAACGCGAGTTCGGAATCCATAGAGGTGGTACTGATATACTTTCTCTTTTTGAGATCATATTTTCCCACAATATCTCTTTCGCTAGCCCCGAGAAATCGACCAAAGGTTACTTGGGAGGGTGTGTTGATACCAATGGCTGCAGCGTCAAGTTGCCATTCTTCCAAGATACAGAATTCTTCATCGGCTCCTTTCATTTTGATCGGACCCTCGAATTCCAAATATCGGAATTCATTAATGAGTGCGCGTTGCTCGGTGGTAGATCTTGTATTTTGAAAACAATCCACTGTAAATTTGAAAGAGCAGGTTTTATAAAGCGACCATAGATCTTTCGTAGAAGTCTTTACATCCTCATGAAGAATTTCATACGTTGAACCCGTGCCCCAAACTTCGTAGATGGCTTTCGAGAGAATGCTTCTCTTAACCAATCGAGCAGCGGCTTCTGCAGACGGGACGTCTACGAAACAAAACGGTGACTATCCATCACTTAGAATTGACGGTATTCATGAGATTTGAATGAGAGATTGCACTTACGTTCGAAACATAGTGTTCAACCTGTAAAGGAATATTCTCGAGTTCTGCCAAAGCCTGGATCTCGGCAAGACGAAACGTCTCGTGCGTTTGTGTGAATCTTATTAAACATCTCATTTTGATCTTTTGATGATGTTTAATCCTCCTACAGATCTAGGCGTTTGAGTAGAATTTCCCCTCGTCTCGCTCCTGCAAACCACTACACTGGTGTGGAAAGTCACAGGGAAGCACGACCGAACAAATGGTGGTCAAACTTTCGAAGTCTGGTGAATTGGAAAGATTGTCTTTGAGAATTATAGACAAATTTCTCCGATCAAGCTTTGAAGAAAAATCAGCTTGAAAGAAGACTCCTTTGCGCAGCTATAGAAAACAATGCCTATATGTAATTTTCACTATCACATTCACAATATTTTTCACCACCACTCCCGCAAAAAATTACCCCTCCAAAAATCCTTACCAGGGTTGCACTTAGCGCATTCAAGCCCATGCTATCCACGCTAACCCCAAATCGCTCTGTCAAAATAAATCCTCAAAAGTGCATCTAACCACCCACCTCTTCCAACCAAGTCTTCCCACACATCAAGAATGTTAAGCTTCCCCGAAGAGACCAAACACGAGCAGAAATGCTACGTGACGCATGGGACCATGGGTCATCTCGATCCCAAACAACCTCCGGTGAAACGGAAACCATTTGTCAATATCTTGGGTCATAAATTTATCAACAAGGTTGAGATGATTTTACCCAAGGAATCGTATGCGATTGTGAAGAATGGGATGGATGGGGTTTGGGGGGAGGATGGTCCGGTTTATAGTCGGGTTGTGTTTCCATTGAGTGCATTGTTGGAGGGAGAGTTTTTTACGGAGTATATCAAGAAAGGTAAGGCACGTGAGGAGATTGGGAGGTTACTTTTTGCTTACGGGGTTCTAGGAAATATTATGATGCTTTCGAAGGGGATGATGGGGGTTGATAATGTGTTTTCCTTGAGTGAAGGTAAGGTCTCGGATTTTGGATGTTCCAATTTGCAGAACTTACCTACTGACGTTGGTCATAGGAATTTTAACCTTGCATTTGGACAAGGAAACTTATGAAAGATCAGGATTGGTAGGCAAACCGGAGGGAATTAAGGGGAAACGAGAACATCGACCTCGGTGGAGTATGTACTGTTTTGAATGGGAAAATGGCTTTACTAACAAATTCATAGTTGTTGAGATAAATTTACGGTTACCATCAATGTTACATGGCAAGAAGGGATTTCGAAGGATTGAAAACGCATTCAATAATGTATTAACTACTCCTGTGACGTGGCTTTTCTGTGACCTAGGAGCTACAGGTGAGAACCCATTACACCTCTTGCTACAATACTAATCTCTTCGCTAGTATTACCATCCGACCCATTATCACCACATCATCCACACAAGATAACATGCATTCCAAAAGTATCAAGTGACTGTCAAGTCAAGAGACCTGAATTTAAACCTCCAGTAGAGAACAATAAAAACTATGACGAGGACTTTCGCGAATTCGCCGTCGAAATTTATGAGTGGCTTTCATTAATTTCACTAGAAAGTCCACGAGTCAATCCAACTGACAAGATCGACCCCTTTTTGTCCCGTTACGAACCTCCGATAGGTTCAGATGAAGCAGAGGAGCTGGTGAAGGTCACATGGACTGGGTTCATTTCCCCTACATGGGCACATAATGCTTTTATCCAAGCTCTACTCGTAGCGCCGAGGAACTCTTGGTTTTCATATTATGTTGGCGGGTTCAGCGATAGCTGGAATGGCGAGAGCAAAAACTGTACAGTATTGAAGTTGCCTGATGTCCCCAACGATTATGTTTTGTGGGAAGTAGAATAGATGGAAAATCATTCTGTTCGTTGACGGACTTCTCGTCCTTCTCCTACTTCGCCTGTAATCGCCTCCGTAATGAGCTTTCGTAATTCCTCTTGTCCCGCAGGTGTTTGGAAATCATCTCGAGCAGCCAGCTCATCAATACGTCTCTTAAACTCAGGATCAATGACCTCTCCTACATCCTCGTCTGGATTCATAGTACCAATATTGACCGACAGTCCTTCGGGTACTAGTGGTGGGTGGGCCACTATGGCATCTGTCCCGCTTGATGCTGGAAGGCCTCCCTCGGCTTCAAGTTCCTTGATTCGGAGATACACCGCGACTTCTGGATAGTCACCCTCTACCTCAATTCTTTCCCTTGCATTATACCCATCCTCAGCACTTCTAATTGTAAAATTGGCATGTAATTCCTCAACCAATAGCTTTGCGCAATCTAGTGTTTCGGCCACAAACAATGCGGTCTCCCCATCCTCATCTTTCAAATCGACGTTGACATCAAACTCGGTGACAAGCGCTCGCAGAAGGTCTAAATGACTGTAAGAGGCAGCGGCGTGCATTAAAGAATATCCGTGTTCATCTTGAGCAGAAGCCAAGGCGGGGTTCGATCGAAGGAGGGGTAGAAGATCTGGAGAATTGTCGGCGGCTAGAAGGAAAGGATTGGGCTGAGCTGGAGCCATTTGTGTTGTGTTATTGTCTTCGCCGTAAAGAGCAGGTTTCAATACATACGATGCTTCTCTTCCAAAAATTATTCTGTTTGTGGTCAATGTAGGAGGGCCTCGGAGAATTTTCTATAGTGTAGCGGCCGCATATCCCGATGACCGAGCCCAAGAACCCCACTAAGCGCTCATACCCGACCCGTCACCTTTTTTTTTTAATGCTCAGCCCTACTTGTACCCAGACAATCTAATAAGAATTATCCAATTATCAAGGGATTCCAAGGTTCGCCTGACCTTTTTCCTCTTTGGGTATTGAGCTAAGCAAAATACTACTTGCGGTAGGTACAGTACCTGTCTCGTCCTGCCCTTGCCTTGCCTTGCACTCTGCCCACCACTTTTCTCAAGATTTTGATATCTCGAGCTTCATTTCACTACCCCCGTATCTATCCATTTCCCCAGTGTGACTCTTTGCTGGATAAGGAAGGAACATCTCAAAGGATCCCGTGTGGTTGCTTGGTGTTGATAAAAAGACAAGCAAATCTCTCTTGTATGCTATTTGCCCTCAAACTTCTATATCCAAGACTTCTTTCAACTATACACAAAGGTCATTTGACGTCCCAATTTACTACTACATCAAAGTTTTTAAATCTTTCAAACCACCCTGCTCTAACACATCTACCAAAATATTCTGTCGCCATGGCTGAGCACACAAATGTTCCTTATAAATCTCAAAATGTGGAAGAAGTTCAAACACTTCTTCGAAATCTCAATGATAGCGCCGGCAAAGGAAAGAAACATGGTTTTAGTTGCAAGAAAACTCCTTTCCAGGTCGATGGATCTCCAGCAAGAATTGTGGTCGAATCTTGGCGTTTTCAGGATTGGGACTACAAGCGACAGGATTTACCTACATACGCACGAGGTCTTTTCACCAGTAAGAATGAAAAGGGTCAGCCAGAGATTGTAGTTCGTGGTTATGATAAATTCTTCAATACGGAAGAGGTCAGTTCTACGAAATGGAACCAAATCGAAGCCAACACCAAGGGTCCTTATGAATTGAGTCTCAAAGAAAATGGATGTATTGTCTTTATTAGCGGTCTTCACGACGGCACTCTATTGGTTTGTAGCAAGCATTCTACCGGCCAAGGAAATAACCTAGAAATGAGCCACGCAAAAGCTGCTGACAGATGGGTCGACAAACAACTTCAAGCCATTGGAAAAACCCGGAATGATCTCGCCAGAGAGCTAAGAAAAAGAAATGCCACTGCGGTTGCCGAGCTTTGCGATGATGATTTCGAGGAGCACATTTTAGCTTATGGTAAAGATGACGCAGGGCTTTATCTTCACGGTATCAATATCAACTTGCCAGAGTTTATGACCTACCCTGGAGAACAAGTTCAAGCTTTTGCAGCCGAATGGGGATTCAAGAAGACTGATTTCTTGATGAAGGAAGACATCCAAGTCGCCAAATCCTTCCTCGACGACGTAGCTGAAACTGGATCTTATCAAGGACGTGATATCGAAGGTTTCGTCATTCGTTGCAAGGCTCGTACGAGATCAAATGAGTCATATTCAGATTGGTTCTTCAAGTACAAATTCGAAGAGCCATATCTAATGTATAGACAATGGCGTGAATGCACAAAGGCCTTGATTTCCGGAAAGCCAGCTCGATTCAGAAAGCATGTCAAGATCACAGAAGAATACCTTCTCTTTGCACGAAAACGCCTTGCCGAGGATCCTAAGTTGGGAAAAGAGTATGCACATAATCATGGTATTATCAAGTTGAGAGATGATTTCCTGAAGGAAATTAAGATGAAAGGTTCGGATATTATTCGTCAAGAATATTCTCAACTTGGAGGTTCGCCAGATGAAGTGCATAATAATGTTATTCTATGTCCAGTTGCAACAATTGGTTGTGGAAAGACAACCATTGCGCTTGCACTCACTCATCTATTTGGTTGGGGTCATGTTCAGAATGACAACATTACCGGCAAGGGTCGTCCACCTCGATTCACTAAGGAGATTTTGACACAGCTCGAAGAAAAGTCTGTTGTCTTCGCTGATCGAAACAATGCCTCAAGACATGAACGAAAGCAACTGATTGATGATGTACATATTACTCATCCACATGTTCGACTCGTCGTCTTGAATTTTGTTCACGATAGGGCAAGCATCGAGAAAGTTCGACAAGTTACTCAAGATCGAGTAATTAACCGCGGTGACAACCATCAGACTCTCCAAGCAGCATCAGATACGAAGAAAGTCGTTGGTATCATGGAAAGCTTCATTCAACGCTTTGAACCAGTAAATATATCTGCACCACCAGATGATGGATTCGACTATTCTATCGAACTGGATCCTACTAAGGACTCACGAGAGAATCTTGAGACTGTTGTTGGACAGCTTTCAGCGCAGTTTCCAAAACTTTTTATCGATTTTCCCACGAGCGAGGATCTTGATGAGGCAATCCAATTTGCATTGAGCGATTACAAACCAGATCTCAGACATGAAGTTGGTCGTGGACCACCTAATAACCACAATAAGAATCAACAGAAAGAGAACAGAAATGTACGTGTTGATGATGAATATGAAAATGCCCAAAAACGAAAGCGTACACGTACCGAATAACGCTGACCTCAAATTAATTACAGCCAAGCCAGCAATCACAGATTGCAAAGAAGAGGAAACCATTAGAATACGTATCTATTGACCTTCCTCGGAACGATATCAAGCAGACGCTTGACGATACTTTCGGTCGGGCATCTTCGAACCAAGCAGGATTTTACAGAGCCCTAGAGGGAATGCGACGAATTCAACCAGAATTTCACGTCACTCTTATTCATCGAGCTAACTCCAAACAATTCCCTGAGTTGTGGCAGAAATACAGCGATTTGCACGCGGATCAAGTTTCTAAAGATTCATGGAGTCCGGGAACTGGATTTGGCAACTGCCAAGTTATGCTGGAGAGAGTAGGTTCTATCTTCTCACAATCTTTTGAGGTGAAAACTAACAGAAGTAGATCGTATGGGATGACCGTATCATGGCAATCGTTGCTAGAATTATCGATGATGGATGGGAATGCACGAATGAAGTAGCACATATTACTGTTGGTACAAGAGGAAATGATGTTAAACCCAAGGAAAGCAATGATTTGTTGAAGCGTTGGCTTGCGCAGGGAAGTGGGGATGAGAGTGGAATTGGAGAGATTGCTATTGAGGGTAGGAAGACTGTTCAAGGAGTTGTTAAGGGCAATCTTTCTAGATGAGAGGATAGGTGGTGAAATGAATGTTTGTGGGTCGGAGTGGATGGATAGAAGGAACGGATGGAGGGTGGAGGAAAAGTGATTTTTAGAGATTCGGCGGATATGATACCAGAATATCTTCGCTCTGTTATTTTTGGCATGAATAAATGCATAGGACTTGAATCATTAGGATTCATGAATAAACGCAACATCTTCTCTTTCAAGTTAGCCGCCGTGTGCGGTTCTAGTTGAGAAGTATGCGATTTGAAGTGCCATCTTACATCAGCCAACCCGTCAAGATCCAGGAGAAACCCACACACTCTTTCTCTCTGAAACCGCCTCTTCAAAGCCCCTCCGCGTTCGTAAATGACTCTTGCGTGAAACTGTATCTTAATATCATTATCAGTATCGATCAATAGCCTAAACTATCAGCCCCCAATCCCCACTCCCTACCCTCCATCAAATGACCACTCGTTTATTGCTTTTAAGTCTCCACATGAACTAGCAAATGCAGTCGCACTCGCCATAAGGTTACCACACTACACTACACTTCATACTGCGGTGCTGCAGTATCATTGTAGGCGTTGCGAGTTTATTGAAGGCGTTTGTGGTGGATGATGTGAGGGGTTGGTGGATGTAGATTGGTAGAGGATGGATGTGGTGGAGTTGGTGATGGGTGAGTGAGTGATATATTGATGTACTGTTGTGGAATTGATAGTTCGATAGTTCGACATTGAAAGGGGGGGGGTTCGGAGATGAGGAGTTGGGAGGTGGGAAGTAGTGGAAGTGATGGATGATGGGATTATGAGTATGTTAGACTTGACATATTTTGAGGAGTGAGGAAGAGAGGAAGTAAGTAAGAATCAAACCGACAATTAACCAAAACACTAGAAAGAAGAGAGATAGAAAGAGAACGAAAGAAAATTTCAAGGAACTATAATCCCCTCCTTTCCTCCTCCCCCTCTCTAAGAAGTCTCATTATAAAAAGTGATTATCTTGATCATCTTGATCGAGATCTAGATAGATAGACAGATAGATAGATAGATAGATAAATAAATAAATAGATGAATAAATAACGTAGTTCATATATGATTTCTAGTAGATCATATCACCGAATGAATTACTTAATTTATATATAAAATTTGTCTGTATATAACTATATACTTTCTTTATTAGTCTATAGAATTGTTCGAATTTCTCATACAAACCAAATCTTCCAATGATTTCAAAAATCTAATTTTTATTCAAAAATTATAATTATTATCAAAGCTATTAAAGAAAAACAGTTTTTATAATACAAAGTATAACAATTTCAAATTAAAATGAATTTTTTAGAAGAAACCTGAATATTATAAATATTTTATTAATATTAATATTTTTTTAATAAATTTTTCTTTTGAAAATAATGATTAATTATTAAAATAAGAATATTAAAAATGACTAATTTTAGTGTATTTTCAAGTCATTCATTCGATGATATGATCTACTCGTATATGAACCATGTTATCTATTTATACATATCCCCATCCTTTTCCATAACAAAAAATGCGAATTCGAATCCAAGTTTTAGTTTTAGTTTTAGTTTCATCATCAAGAGAGAGAGAGGGCGGGTATTCTATTCTGTATACATATCTAGTACCTAGATGTTTAGGTACTGCTGTACCATGTGTCTGTATCTGTGATTCTGCTCTGGTGTATCGATATCGATATGAGTTTTTTCACTTGCTTATATTTCCAAGAGGAGTTTGATTTTATATTGCATTTTAAGTATCTAGTATCTATGGCTTCGTTAGATTCATATTAATGTTTCTTTTTCTGTCTTTTGGTAATAGATATATGTTGAGGTAGGTATATAATCAACCAATCGATTTTCTATCACATCACCTAGGACTTCTCCTCTCTACACCGTATCTCCACCGCATATCTCCCTCCCTACCCATCACAAAATACAAATACAAATACAAATATGAAACGAGTCACACACCTACGCAGAAAATAGTATACAAACACAAAACATGTGTTCTCTCCTATGTACTTTACATATGTCGTGGAATCTATCAAGAGCTGAGCTAGTAAGTTTGAAAGTTGATTAAGCTTATATTCCATGCGGCACTCGTGATTCCACGAACAATCCAATCAGAATCGCAGATCATCCCATCTCATTCTTTCCGCAAGTGACGAGAAAGATAGCTGCCTATCTTTTCCCCATTCGATAGGTCTATTGTGTGATATCCCTTGACCTGACCAATTCTGATACATCACAAGAGAGGTACAAGTGGTTCAACAGGAGTTAGAGTAACGGTTTGAGATTCGGGTTGTGCATCTGCTTCTGGTGGGTGGATGCCACATGTACGAGTGGTGTTTGATAAGCGTCGGGTGCTGGAGATGATGGGTTGGGTCATTTAACTAGATAGGTAGGGTGGGTGAAACGTAGTGGAAAGAGTGATGTAGGTCTTACAAATAACGTGATGGTTTTGAGGCGATGGATACAGTAGAGATCTCAACATCTATATTGCACTATGACAACCACATAAACAGAGTATCGAGTCACTTCAAATCTCAAGTAGAATCTCAAGTCAAACAAAAGTATGAAAGCAAGAAAGCCCAATCAATTAAGTACTAGGAAAACAGCTGCAAAGGAGCCCATTTTCCGTCCATAGAACTTTTGCCCATACCCCTCCCAAATATCAAGCAGAAACTCCATCCATAAAACCATCCAACCAGTGGACCCAACCCATCCTATCCTATCTTATCATTCCTCCCTCAGCCTTCGAAAAGAAGGTTCCTGAAAAGACGAAATTCCAACGAAACAAGCCCCCATTATGATGTATATGCCAATTACAAAGAGCAAAGAGAGAAAAAGAGAAAGACGAAAGATAAGATAAGATAAGATATCATAACCGACTCGAATCTATCTGTCTTATCTATGTAAGTCTTCGAGTATTGTGAGAATCCCGCAGACAACAATATAGGCTGAGACTTGAACGTCTAGAAACCCAAACATGGACCGCAACAAGCGGAACATGCCAGATGTTGTGTTGTTGGAAGTTTTTGCCATAGAGGTGATGAAGAAATAGATCAGAGTTGATTTCAAATGACGCGATGAAAAGACTACAGGCGAAAAGCAGCTCTTTGAAATAGGAAAGGTCGACGAGGAGGTGACGAGGCAAGTAATTGCTTTTGTGCGAAAAGCGAAAATGGAAATGGAGACGTAAATTCATGTAAACACGTAAACGGTGCTCCTTCGTGAAACACTGGAAAGTTTGTCGTGGTCGCGTGAAAAGCGAAATGATCCCACTGAGTGGTCGATTGTGAAAAGTCGACAAATTGTCTCGGGGTGCAGATCTTCGCTGCTTAATTGCTTAAGCGTTGATTACGTTGACGGAGGGATGGCGAAGAGGCGGGAAGACATTGACGCCATATTGACCGCCCATATTTCCTGAAGGGGAAAAATTAGTGAAAATGTATAAATTGAGAATCATAATGAGGAACAAACCTGGTGGAGAATAGTTGCAGACGGTATACCAAGCTGGCATACTTGGCCAAATGTCCATCGGTTGACAAAGTTGGGTTGCACAGCCAACAGAATTGGTACCAAGCCAAACCATTTGAGAGAAATGACCCCAATCTTCAAAGGTGGTCAAATCTGGGTTGTTCTTACCATAGTAAGAAGGAAGGTAGGTGGGTTGTTCTCCGTTGTACCACATGTTTGTAGCAGCGACAGCCATCTCCTTGTTAGCACCAAGAGCCTTAGCATTGGTGGAACCGTATGCAGCAATGTTTTGTCCATATCCACCGCCATTAATATTCCTAAAGAAGAATTAGCGTTGGTAAGACAGAGGTGACCCAGAAAAGTACTCACATGTTGTGACCCCACTTGCATGTTGCAGCAAGAACCTGAGCGGATGCAACAAGCTTTGTGTCCCACTTGAGAAGAGGCACAGAGTGATTGGCGCGATGGATATTGTGGTGGTACAAAGCAGTCGAAACATAGTCTGTGGGAGTCGCAGTTGGGACTGGTGCCAGTGTGGTGGAAGGGTAGACGGTAGTTGTGACATGAAGGATGGTTGTTGCAAGTGCCTTCCCATTGGAATTATAGATAACTTCGGTGACATCGTAGGTTTGGATGATTTGGCGCTTGAGGCGATTGAGAAAGTCAGTGATTGGAGATGCTGTTACCATCAAGGCAAATAGCATAGCCAAGGCAAATTGCAAACGCATGTCGGCGATATTATTGAAGCTTGAGTTATGTGACTCTGGTAAATCGACAAGACGGAAGATGTGAATGGCGTGTCCAAAGAAATGGGGAAAGATTTGAAAAAATATCTAGGTATCAAGCACTAGAAGTAGAGCTTGGTAAAGACTGTGGGTATAGAAAGGAGATCTAAGGTCTGGTTGAAGGATTGCAATTGTTTTGGAAGAAGAGGGGGAGGAGGAGGAGGAGGAGGGGAAGACGATTGAACGTTTGTTTATATTCCCAAAATATTTCCACGTGGATTTCGATACCAGTGTCCCGTCTCTTGGAGAGATTACTCGGTAATATCACCCAGTCGAGACTTTTATTAAGATTAATAAAACGAAATGAGGAAGGAACCTTAATCGGACCTTCAATCACCTTTTTGGGGGGAAATTGAGGAGGAAATATAGAAAAAATTGAGAGTAATTTGAATGGTGATGGAATCTGTTAATGACGTATGGAATTCTGAGATTTGTATTACTTGATGGCGATGCGGATGTCTCACTGTCCGTGAAGCTTGATAGTTGTACGGGGTTATTGTGATTCTAACGATACTTGAAGTTGCAGGTGCTCTTCCTTTTTCTGCATCTCATCATGTGGTGGTGGTGGTGGTGTAGGAAAGTGCAAATCACCATAGAAACCTGGGGCCCCAGATACTCGCCACTACCTTGTGGTGGAGATATTGATGAGTCTTGAAGAATGAATTTATGATTCTAGAGTCTCCAATTCCCGACTTCACTCAAATGATGTCTCAGAGTGAATATCCGGTATGTGGACGCCACATGGCGCACCGACTTCTTAATATCAAAATGTTTCCATGCCTCTCAAAATGAAATGAAAAACAAAATTACCTACCTACACTGTTCAGATGAGCATAATGATAGCCCCCGATCGAATGAGGGCTTGAAGTGACATCCGTGATATATTCATCATCATAATAAACCTAAAGGGACGGCTGTCATCCACTGTCCATCTAGCGATGTCGTCTGTTGTTGACTTGTGTTCCATTCCCAATTCCCCACATTCCTGGAACTTGGCTATATCGAAAAGGAATCAGTCCCAAGACTCCTGGGCATGATAACTTTCCACAATCATCTCGAAGCATTCTCCTTTACAATAATACACTTGAGCCGGCAATATACACAGCTCTTGGCTTTTGCCAATGTTTTTGTTCTTGGAAACTTCTAAATCGTGGAGAACCTCGACTCCTTTGCCATAAATACGACAGTGAATAGCTGGAATGTGGGCAGATCAGCGGTGTCGCCTTCTAGACTGTCTTCAAATAAACATCATTCAATCTGTCAAATGACGCTCTGAAGTCTAATCCAAGGTCCAGGAGAACTTCCGTGGGTGAGGATAACCAGAAGTTCTGATATCAAGGGATCATATGGATTGAAAACGGCTTGCAGACCGCTAAAACGTATGTGTCGAGATCATGAGTTGACAAAATCTAGAACTTCTATGTACGAATACGGAGAAATCTCAAACGTCTCTTAGGTCAATGCCCCGATTTGTGTCCAAGGGCCTTTGGAAAGAATGCAGTCAATGATAAACAAGGTGGAAACTTGACAGGTTAAACATCAGCAAAACGATGGCAGGTGCAAGAAAGAAGTCATTTTGGAAACAGCACAAGGGGCCAAGTGCTTCCAAGTCCAAGAAACTTTCAAAAGACCAAACATGCATCGATTATTGATGAACACTTGTCCTTGACGATGGATAGTTGGAAGAAGAAGAGAGACATTGTTAAGCACCATCAGCTGTCCTTTGTTCTTGTTGACTAGTGGCTGCTTAGTTGCTCCCTTTTCGGTGCACTCGGTGCTGTACTCATGCCACCCTCCCCAAGTATTGCGCTTGTCATATGCCGAGATCCAAGTAAGTTCCAAAACTTCAGCAAAGCCTAGGAGAACCCTTGTATTGTGTCCAACCAGTACATGCATACCGTTCCTGTACGTCCCATCCTTACTGTACAATTTACTTTCTTCCCCAATCGATATTTTGCTCCAATGCATTAATAAACAGCTCCAGGTACGGATATCTCAATTTCCTATCTCAATCTCGCATATATGCTTGGTATATTCAATAAACGCCTTCTATAGTTTGCCCTTCCCAATCTTCTCCATCTCTCTCCCCAATTCTTCCCTCAACTGCGCCGCTAAAACCTTAGCTTCATCCTCATCCAACTCACTCCTCTGCCCCCTCCCAAACATCGTAAAAGATCGATTGCGTAACTCGGGAGTTAGCCCCGGTCTCGGGATAATATGAAAATGTACATGCGGTACCACTTGCGCTGCAGCCGCTCCTATATTTATCGCCATCATTAGCAACGATTTCTTCATTCAATTGTTCTACCAGATATCCATAATAAATCTAGCTAAAACCCTAGATGGGTCGGAACTTCCAAGACACGAATCCCGGGGTAACTCACCGTTATTTTGAACAATATTCCAGTCCCACACACCGGTGACCTTAGCTAACACTCGAGATAGTCTCGGGAGCCATTCGCCCAACTCTCGCGCTTCTTCTTCACTCACGTCCGATAATTTTTCGTTGTGATTACGAGTTGTGACTAGTAGGTGTCCTGGGGAAAGGGGCATAATATCGAGAAATGCCATGCACTGAGGTGTGCTGAGGACTACGAACGCGGATGGAGTGGTAAGGTCTGGGTTTGCGAGAGATGAGGATGGTGGGTAACTAGATGCTATGCTGCAGAATGGACAAGTCATGATGATTGAGAAGCCCCTACGAGAGGGCTATAATGATGTTACCGTGATATGCATATTGTGTAGATTCGAATTGATGATGTTCAATTGTGGATGAAGGAGCTTGGGGATGGAATTTATTTTACCGAGGCTATGATTTGCTTCTTTTGTCACAGTATCCCCGACACTTTTTTTTTTAGGTCTAAAGGCCATCCATCCATTGTTTATTTATTTCACGATAGTGAATCATCAAAATCGTTTAAATACATCGATTCATGGCGTAATGTACATGATTCAACCAAAGTTCCCGAGGTATCACGAGCAACGATGACAAGTTGTTGTAAGACATGATTTCAAGAGTGCAAATTATGAAATGGTCATGAGAAGCTCTATATTCAATTACTTCATGGTATCTCTAAAATTATATACAATTAAATCCTTTACTCATCGTCGCCGAAGAAGACCTTGATAGGTAACCAAGCATCTCCGCAAACCTTGAATCTATCTTTCAGGTTGTCTAATTTCTCGACTTCCTCACTGGTCAATTCCCAACCATCAAGCTCGTAGTTCTTCTCAACACGTTCCTTGTTGACGGATTTTGGAATGACAGACCATCCCTTTTGGATACCCCAAGCAAGAAGTACTTGTTGTGGAGTCTTGCCCTTTGCTTCTGCGAGGGACAATAAGGTCTGGTCCTTGTACAAAGGCGAGTTTGTGCTACCGAGACAGGAGTAACCGGTGCTGTGGATACCCTTTGATGTGTTGTATGCAACGAGCTTTGGGGAAGGGTTGTTTGGGTGGAGCTCGATTTGGTTAACAGCTGGAACAATCTACATGATAGTTAGAATGAAGGAACAATCGACAAACAATGGAGCTTAGACATACGGTGGTTCCCGGGTCGCTGAGGAGCTTCTCCAAGTTTCTAATACCAAAGTTCGATACACCAATGTTCTTTACTTTGCCAGTGGCAGGGAGCTTTTGCATTTCGTGCCATGTCTTAATGAAGTCCCAATCTGGGTAGTGCTTCTTCAAGTCATCTGGGTCGGTGGATGATGGCCAATGCATAAGGTATAAGTCGACGTAATCGGTACCAAGAGACTTCAAGGAAGAATCAATACCTTCCTGAACTCTCTTGTGCCATGGGTTGTCGAGTTTGGTAGTGAGCCAAATCTCTTCTCTGGGGACACCGGATGCTTTGATACCTTGACCAACTTCTGATTCGTTTCCGTATGCAAGCTGATAATCTGTCAGAATTCGATTTCATGCCACAGTATGCTCCTCGACTTACAGCTGTATCAATGTGTCTGTAACCTTTGCGAAGAGCAATCTCTACAGCCTTCTCAACTTCACCTGGTGGTGATTGCCATGTGCCGAGACCAATAGCTGGAATCTTAGCACCAGTGTTGAGGGTGAAGGTCTTTCTGGATAGAGACATAGTGTGTGAGCTCATGGTACGAATTGGTTTAAAATGGGATGTGACAGTCGCCAGTCTGCGCAGACTTCTGCTTTTGACGTGAATTCCTATCAAGGGGTCGAAATGGAAGAACTTACGAGGTAACGTTATTTGCAGACATTTTTACGGTTTGTTAGATTGTTAGATGTTTTGAGTGTAAATTAGAAGGAACAAGAGAAGAAGGATAAGTAGTTGCGAGGGAAAAGTGAATACTTATACCTTTACTTGACCCAGACAGCCGTGCATGAGGATTATTTGATACCGGATGACGACAACCTATAGAATTTCCACAAAATACTTTACCACCGGGCTATCTCTATTCCATATGAAGAAGTTCAACCTGCCGATACGTGAACTTCAAAGATAATCCGCTGCACAATGAGGGGCTCTGGTAGAAGGTTCTCTGTCGCTGGGTGGAGCATGGAGGGGCAATCCCACTTCAGGCTAAATTGAACCGAAGGAAGATTGACATGCGCACCAATCATGTTTTGCAGAGCCGTTTGAGAGTATTCCTAGTGATTTTCTACGTCAGAATTCCCCATCAATGCTTGAAAACCCTTCCCAATTGACATATTTGAGAGGCGAATAATGGATTCTGTACGGTGTTTGTATGACTAAAGATGGATCCAGCTTGGATTGGAGCATTGAATTTAGCCTAAATGCAATATCGACTTCTAGAATCTCACTAGTCTCATCAATCAATTCAAAAAATTGTAATTAGAGTTCCGTCTCAAAGTGCGAAATTGCTTCGTAGCGGGGGAGAAGGCGGGGAGTGGGAGCGTCACGCACGTGATGTTGGGAAACCTTGTTGGCGCAATCTCACGAACCTTAGAAACTAGATAGAAACTAATAAACGCCTCTGTACCATTCGTGCGCATACAACCAAAACCACAATGTCCTCCGGATTTGTATCAGGTGGTACCGCAGATGCTCCAACTGAGCGCAGTGATGAATGGCTAGCCGCTCAACAAGAAATAGAGGCTAACAGACAACGAAAAGCTATCGAAGCTAGACAACAAGATGGAAAGAGCTTGTTCGAGATCCTAGAAGCAAATAAAGGTACACATCTAGGGTCCTTGCACTCGCCCACGCGTTGATTTCTTAGGCTGATCACTTAGGGGTGCGTTGAATAAACCAGCCGCCAAACAAGATGCATTCGAAGAAGCCAATAAACTCAAGAATCAATTCCGATCATTAGATGAGGATGAAATCGAATTCTTGGATTCTGTTCTAGAAAGTACGAGGGCTGAAGAAGACAGAGTGAGAAAAGAAACTGCGGAGGGACTAGAGTTATTTAGAAAACAACAAGAAGACGCAGATAAGAAGGCGAGAGGAGCAGATGATGATGGAACACAAATACCAGATGGTTCGCCGGTGCGGGAGGATGAATGGGGCACTACGGGTCGAAAGCGCAAGCGTACGAAGGATAAGGAGGTATTGAAGGGAGTCAAAGTTAGGAGAGCTTCATCTTCCGCAGAACAAGCTCCATCTTCCACGTCTACCAAAGACCTGTCGACGAAACCTGCGAAAGATAATTCTGACTCAACTGCACCGAGTACTAAGCCACCAGCTTCTAAAGATTCAGCCAAAATCTCGGACCCAAAGCCTGCAAAGGTAGCACCCAAGCCGGTGGCAGTCAAAAAGCCATCACCTCCTCCATCCAAAAAAGGACTGGGACTGGTAGATTATGGATCTGACGAGGATTCTGACTGATTGTTGTGAGGAGTCTCTATGGGGAGTTTGGAGTGGACAAATTCAAGTATAATCGAAGGGAGAGAAGTCTTTAAGAAGCCGGAAATTATCACGAAAAGTGCAGGATAAATGTAGTAGGTGAAACTATTTCCAAGGACGCTATGCTTGATCATGTTAATTCATGATGCGCATGTCAAATATTACAAGATATAGGTATCTACAGACAAAGAAGTGCTATGTACTTTCTCACAAGAGCTCTATAAATCACCTTCTCTCGTCAATAATCTTCAAACAGTATTCCAAATGGAAACGAAACTTTTCACAGCTTGAACCTGGCGAGGTTCAAAACCATTTCTCTACCAGTGACCCAAGTTGTTCTCCACAGGGTTGGGAAGTCCAAAGTACTGGTAAGACCATCGGCAAATCCAAAACCCAGCATAGGTGGGATCCAACCTCTAGCATACTCAAGAGCGAAACAAGCGGCATCCATCTTATACTGCTTAACAGTACCACGACGAAGATGGTGAACACTTCCTTGAGGATAGACTTCAGGTTCAAAGTCTCCAGGTGTATAGGCGAGTTGAGTACCGTGAATGATATGGAAATAATCATCAGCTGTGTGACGACCGGTATGTCCTTCAGTGCCGATTGTAGTTCCTATGCACAGTCAGTATCTCCACTCAAACTCTGAATCTACCCATTGGTAAACAAACCAAAAATAATCAAATATTCCGTAATACCTATAAAACGAATCAGCACTCTCGTCTCTTCAAATGACCCCGACCTTAGACGCGTGACCTCATTGGAAACTTACTAGCATGAATAATATACATAGCACCCATAGCCCCGCCAGCATTATTAAAAATCCATTCCTGATCCAAATTGATATAGCCACCGGGATGTTTCTCACTCAATTCATCCACAATGAACTTCACCACCTGAGCGGTATCATTACCATGAGCGCCAATGGCGCGCTGGGAGAGATCATGAAGTTGAGTCGGTGTAAAGATGTAGAAGGATTCAAGACGTGCATCTAAATAGTAGTAGAGAGCAGTGAGGAGACCGAAGATGGCTCCGTAGGTGAGGAGCTTCATGATGGGAATTTGTGAATGGAATGCATGTATGTATGTATGTATGTATGTATGTTTCACTTCTTGTGAAGAATAGAAAAGAGTGTTTACTCTTATGGCGGTCTGGCAATAAATTTGATAATTTCGCAAGCCAGGTACGAAGATTTAATGTGGACCTGGTAACCAATCGGATTCTTCGGTGATAGCTGGCAGGGCAGTTAGGGGTTCTTAAAAAGAGCGGCTAGGACGGTAACAGGGGAAGCTCTGGAAGCTTGGGAAGGATTTCTGATGGAAAAGTCGAGAGTATTTGCATGTCAGTTAAGAAGATATTGGATCGGTCAAGTAAGATGGATATTATTAGTATTAATGTAAATCTGCATCCAACTCTCTGTGCATACCAAAATTCTCTTGTTTACACCAACCGATACTGGTAGCCAATGTCATGAGCTTTATCTCGCTAGAATAATCATACTCAATTTACCTATGCCTCACTCCCAACCTAATCAGTCTGATTCTGACTCTCCATGATCCTCATCATCTGCTTTCTTTTTCGATTTCTTGAAATTCTCCTTTCCATCCGGAATATAAGCTTCAACCTCTTGGCCATCAAATTTCCGCCCATTCATCAACTTAACGCATGCTTTCGCTGATTCTGCGTTTGCGAATCTTACACTCGCAACTCCATCTTTCTCCAAATCGTATAGAACCACATTTGTTACCTCGCCGAGCTTGCCACACTCATCTCGAATATCTTCCTTGATATCCAGCATTGCAGCTGGGTCTTCTTCTAGCTCTTTCAAAGTGAACATATGCTTCAATATGACGACTTTATCCCACTTCGAGCTGGATTCCACAAGGGCTGATGGCTCGTCATCACTCCAATCTGCCAGTCGCGCATCTAATTTCTGAGTCTTTTTGATAATCTTCTGCTTGTCCTTCATGCTGGTCTTGGGTTTCTCTTTCTCATTTCCATCTGCGTCTGTTTGTTGAACCTTCTTGTAGCTCGCCTCTGCAGCCTGGACCCTCATCTTGATTCGCTCTTTAGATGTGCCTCCGTCCATCCTAAAATCTGTATCATCCAGTAACATTATCGCCATCTGCACAGATGGTGCTTTGAAAAATACGATAAGAGCATCGCCCTTGAATTCTCCTTTCTCGTCTGTATAAAGCTTAATTCTTGGTTTCCCGCTGTCGATTTCTTCGGCGATAACACCGCACTTTCGTGAAAAGACTTCGTGAACTTCCTCAACCGTAACATCTGATGGTAAACCAGTAACATAAACTGCGGTGTTCGCTCGTGGAGGTAGAGGTTTTTTGGTTTTCTTTGGGGCTTTCACCATTCGGCCACCCTCCTAGGTAGACTCAGCATCCAAGATTATGAATGAAATAAAAGAGGCAGATAATTGCATAAGCTCCAGCTAGAGATATCATACCAAACTCAAAAAGTAGATATGAAATGTCGTAAAAAAAATTGGTGAAACGGGTGCGCAATTATGATTTTATCTCAAACATGAAGTCTAAAATTGACTTACATCCTCGCCATTGACATACTCCTGCTTCCTTTTCCTCTTTATAGCATCAACTGGCTCACTCTCATCTACTCCAGAGACTTTATATGCCTTCTGCTGTTCTTCCAATAATGCCTCATCTAAAACCGGTATCCATCGTTTGATCGCATCATCGAATTCGAATTCTGTGCCATCGTCTTGCACGAGCAGGTATTTTTGGTCGAGCTTCGAATATGATATGCGATCGTCGGAATCAAAATCTTCGGGATTGGTAGGAAATGGAGCAGTTGCGCCTTCGATATTTTGTCTTTGCTCCATGGTTGGTACGATCTGTGGTGTTTTGTTTATGGGACAGCTCGGGTGGGGGTTGATGTGGTGATAGTCGCGAGCCTTGAAAGTTGAAGCTCGGTGAAAGTTTCGCGAAGCGATTTGATCTATGGGCTTCTTTTCGCATCAATAGATCAACAACACAAATTTCAAAGTTGATCTAAAACTTTCATTTTTGAAGTCATGGGCTTTCGGATGGAAGAACTTCTTCATTGAGTGGTCACTAATTCCAGTTAGTCTGCGACGCTGCCTTGCTGTAGCCTGATGAGCGTGGAGCGCAATATCTTGAATACGCCTCAACTTAGTCCCAGAACCGGCATGTTTTTAGTGACAATTGAGTCGTCATTTACAGTAGATGAGATACTTCCGGGCTCTATAGAGTGATCACGAAGGAGGTGGAGATGGAGTCACGTCTCCAGCAGCGAAGGGATATCCGCTGCCATCGTTCGGATTAACCACTGAAAAGCGATTTTAGTATGCGCAGAAAGCGTCTAGTCCTTTTTCAATTCGCAAATTTTCTTTCTCGCTTGAAACGGGTGATCAATATCGCCTGTATTAAAAGCAAAGGTTGACCTCTCGATTACGACTCATTTTTAGGTTGGCAGAGGTAACCACTCTTCCAGCGAAGACCTTACACGCATGAATTTAGCATGCACCTCTTTGCTCAAGTGAACGAGGACGATAGTAATCCTCTCTGATTGCGCTTTAGTAAGGTAAAGCGCATGGCTTCTATTACCAATTCGTTCATCGGAGCGAACATCAGGGGTGTCAATGGTCCTGATTGCAGTCCCTGATTGCAGTCCGACAATCAGAAGCTTGCAATGTCTAATCTAACTAGATGATTCAAATGGTTTGAAATGTCGAATCCACTTTGAATAATGTACTATTTTCAAACATTGAGAGTTTGCATCCAGTCTACCAGTCCGGAACATCTCTAATATCTATCGAAGACAAAATTGACCTCTGGGGAAGGTTGCTCTGAATATATATATATATTAGAACATAGACTTTTAGCCAAGCAAGGGGTTTGCAAAGTATACTCAATGCATGTGATTACTTTCGGCATGAAATTCCATAGCAATCCTCGAGCCTACCTGCTTCAGTTTATCACACAACTTCAATGTAGGTAGCTCTTAGAGTAATTTACTCGTATCTCGAACTCACCTTTATCCTTACTGTCTCGCTTAATTCCGAACAGAGTGAGTAATTGAGTATCGTATTTGACGTTGTGATCATATCTTCTTTCTTCCACTTCTACATCTTCTACGAAGACCGATCTTGCTTTCAATTTGCTTTGCTCTCCGGTCACAAAGACGATAGTCGGATTAGTAATTTCGACTTTTCACAATCTTCTAGGCGACGTATACGCGACGGCATCACCTGTTCCCACCTCGGAAATTTCACTTCGCTCACGATCTGACAGTAATAACGATCTCCTAGCACTGTCCATTTCCGCCTGCCACTTTCTCTTTAGATGGGCTCATACAAAATCGCTTTTGTCTATCGATTTCTTTCTTAGGGGTATCTTTTACAGCCAGCACTCAGTTCGACCTAATCCCAACCCATGCCTTGCTAGAAGCTCAATCTACCTACACTATGTCCTCAATTCGTCTCAAGCGGTCTGGATCTGGCAAGTATGTCGTCTCTCTCCCCTCTCGCGTTTATTCCTATCTATTCTATTAAGTTTTCTCGGTCTAACGTCACATCTATAGTTTGGATGCGCGTTCAGCAAAAAAGTCGCTCGTAATCAAATTTCCGGTTGCACATATGAGCCTCGTGGATGCAGTCGATATAGCAGCCAGATACAATGAAACTTTGTTTGCCAAGCATACCCAAGAAGAATCTTTGAAAGCTCGCATGACTATCTCGTCTGCCTTTTCTGCCAAATATATAAAGTTGGTAGGTAAATCTTCTATCTGTAGCAGATTATAATAAGTGTTGGCTGAACCTCTCTGACTAATCATAGGATAAGGTGATTGAAGCTCAAGACTTGGCCATTGAACAGTCCAAAGCCGTGATTGCTGCGCTGGACCGGTTGATTCAAAATTTCGATACTCTTCCTTCCAGGAGAATTGAAGCGCTTCTTCCTGGAAGTTCTGTGGAAATGCTCGCAACTATTCTACAATCGTTCAACGCAGTCAACAGCCATGAGCAAGATGCCCAGAAACAGATTATAAAGAATGCTGAAAAGACAAGAGTGGTCGCCAACGCAGCTAAGATGATGTTAGCAGATCGTGAAAAGCGTTATTTGCTTCTTTATTTCGTTACGCCTATTGCCTCAAGAGGATGTGGTGTAGAAATTGGTAACTATACTGGTCTTGCGGCAACCCAACGAACCGCGCGAACTTGGGCTGCAAAGTTTGCAATGGAGGAGATGTTTAGGGTCGGTGAGATTGATCGCTGGTGGGAGGCTGATACCGCTGAAGTGGATGGGGTAATGGCGATAGATCTTGGCTCTCTTTTTTAAAGGGTCTCGAGGGGTTTAGTTAAAGTTTGAAGATTCGTAAAAGCACTGTCTATTTGTCGAGCTCACTTGCTTTTCTACAGTATAATAGTCTGCGCTCCGTTTCGCAATAATCAAAGCACGCTGCTAAATAGTCTTTAAAATTATCACTTTGAAGCCAATCTACACAGTGCAATAATCCTACTGCATTGGTGATAAAGATACTTGTTGCACTAGCATTCATCGGCTATCGCTTCCCTCTCAGGTCGCACCCGATACATCCTTACTCGAAACTCCTGAAATGCACTTGATCATGCATCGTTGCAGTCTCTTGTGATTTGTCGAATTTTCAAGCAAACTCACCTTTCAGACCCAGGTCCAGGGCTACAGAGAAATTTACTGAAAAAGGCCAGCTACGCAACACCTGTGTGTGTTCTAATTCATTATTATCAGAATTGATATTCTTGATGTCTGTTACATCCGAGATTAATGACCACGGATAAAAAAGGCAGCAATATGCGGTCAATGGAGCCTCGTTAGGTCTTGCTCGTATCGGCATCTTTCGCTTTTGTCAGTTAAATTTCCCTGTGATTCAAAAAGATCTCTTCAAGTATGAACTCGAGAAAACATCCCAAAAAGTAAAAGCATAAAAGTGGAAAGTTGTAGGTCACGAAGTACTCCAGCATTTTCATATTCACCATCTAGTTGCTCTCAGTATCTCGCTTAAAGTTTGAGAGAGGTCTATTCAAGAATTATCTCCTCTTCAAATTTCTTATTCTCTTTCAAACTTTCCCTGTCACTTTTTAATACGGGAAACAATATCCCCGGATTATTCCATTTCCATCTCAAATCTTATAGTCTATCCAATATAGTTCTCCATCTCGAAAATTCTTGATAAACAATTTCGAGCTGACTGGTCGTGTTGTGTACCTCGATCTACCTTCCTTAATCATCAATGTCAAGCCACATTAAAAAGGCATCAGTCTCGAGTCCACCATTGATTATGGCCTCTCCCATATCAAAAGGCTCCAAGAGACCTGCCGCTGCCCTGTCTTCTGACACCTCGTCTAATTCGGTCAACTCGATCGCTATACCTTCCAAGAGATCTAAGACTGGCAAGAGATTGGATAGCCAGGCTGAGTCAAGCTCTAGTGGCTCTATTCAGTATGAACTTTCAACTCATTATGTGTTTATTAACGCAAACTGAGCAATGACTATACTTGATTCAATTTAGTCGAGCATCAGATGACATTTTGCAGTAGTCGATTGCCCTCCGAGGACCCCGACCGATACAAAACACAAGGAATAGCCGATCTCGCTACTTATGTCAATGATTACAAAGGATGTCCCATATTTGAGGACTTCGATTTTGAAACCATGGCTCAAGCTTTCCAGGACATCTTGAGGGCAGACTTCCGGCGTGTGGTATGTTCGTAACGGCATATTTGCGACATATCCCAACATTATTTGATGTATATACTGATTGAAGCTTTCAGACAGAGCAAAAAGCACTCAAGGAAGGTGTTCTTCATGCCATCCAGCACTTTGAGGTTCCAGACGGTTGGTTCAACCTCCCAAAGATAATTGAGAATATGGAACCAAGCCATCATAGACCATTTGCGGATATCATCGGTGATATGCTTAAGACTAGCAGTATCCGCATTACCGATGCTGCTGGCCTTACGGTAGAAGAGGTTCTCGATGTAAGACAACCTTTACGGTCTTCGTGTTTTATAGGCGACTAATGAACGTGTAGTGGGAAGCTAAGAACCAAGATACTAGAGCAGACAACGCATGATAACATGGAAGAGGATCGATGCATTGCAACTTAGGTCACTATCGTTGCGTTACTCTCTGTCTTGAAAGGCATACGAAATTTTTCACCGCGGATTTTATTTTCATCGTCACTAAATGCGTTGCTACTCGCATCTAAAAGTTTACACAGAATCGTTATTCCTGTTTTAATATTTCATCATGGGTTGCAGCTATCGAGGATGCGTCCATTCAGGCGTAGCCTCTGGACTGATCACTTGGCGCTTGTTTCTGATGCTACTAAATTCAAAAGCTTTACCCAAAGACTGGTTTTAGATTATCCACGAATGCAAAGAAGCGAGTGGAGTGCAGGTTGCTACAACAGTATACTTGAGATTCTTACACATACCATTAATATCTATCTTTCATAGCCACATTTAACACTTTAAGCTTCATGCTAAGAACAATATGATATGAACTATGTGATATCTAACACGCTCTGACCGTAAACATATCTTCGACCGAATACGTGTCCGCAGGCGGGGGTCTAGTACAAGTTTCTACATCCGTCTCGAGGTCATTGCATGGGCCCACGGCCATATTTAGCCGCTTATCATGCTATAACATATTTCACTTGCTAGTGCAGGCCTTTGATCATTCTGGATACAAAAAGAGCAGGTGTTTCAATACACATTCCAGTTGATTGACATTGGAGTCTATGCTGAAACCGAGCGGTGGCTTACTTTGGGAGTTGATGGTAAACCTCGCTCTCTGCGGAAAGCCTCACATCACGGGATCCATGCAGCAAGTCGGAACAGTCAAGTGCCACTCTTTAAATAAGACCGGATAGCATGAATGAGGCCGTGAAAATCTCTATTGCATGAAGTATATTAAGTGCAAATGCACATCTCTATCTTACCACTCCCTTTCTCTATTCCCTCTCCATGATGCCTCCAAACAATTCCATCAAATGAAGCACGTGTTAAGCTTTAAGCACCAGATTGAATATGGATTGTACTATAAGATAGGATGAAGGATGAGATGAAGAATGACTAACTAATAGTTGCTATTATAAAGCCGGCACTCTGTTCTCAGAAACTGGCCCGCATGAATTCCTGGTAAGGAGATCAATTGCAAATGCCTAGAGGTTATGGAATAGCAACGAGAGAGATAGCTTTAGATCCAATACCAATCCCAGAGAACATACTACTTAACACGAAATCAGTGGTATTTTCAAGTTCTCTCCAAGAAAGGATTGAAAGATCGCACGTGGAGTGACATCCCTATATGACATGTTGCATTGAAAGAGCTTGCATTGGATCAATGCTGCTGTACTCACCGCAGAAAAAGTTATAGAGGTTGGTTCCTGATGAATGTGGGCATTCGATTGTACACCTCACTGACTTTGCACGACAGTATCTCAAAGGACCAAAACGATCCGTTGAAGCTATCAAGGGCGTGAAACGCTACGCGAGAGTAGACCCCGAATATGCAGGCAAGACGAAACTCAACGCTGGAGAACAGAACATTTGCTCAATGCCAATATCAAGAACGAAAGACCATGGAAGGTGCTGAGTCGGCAAGCATATTGGGAGCTGTTGGACGATTCTGACTCCGAATATGATATCTCTGATGAGCACCTTGGCCACTATGATGGCTGTATTGATTGTTATGATTGTGAAGACGACGAAGAAGTTGAAGATGAAGATGAGGTTGGGGATTACGTTGAGGATGAAGAAATGTCTGATCAAAACTAATTATGATCCATGGAATCTCACCGGCCGACTTTCACTCATGTCATCAATAAGTTACTTCCCTTAACTCACATTTTTCAATTCATATAACATCCATATCAAGTCGAACAAAATGCATTACTATTTCATTTCAAATTCAAGTCATAGTCATCGCTTTGCTTGGCGACAATCAATGTTTACGACACACGCATATTTACCGATCTGATTGAACTCTCCAAACTCACCGAGTTGCTTTTAGATAGTTACCAATGCAATGCTTTCTGAAATTGAGTGTGATTTGTGCATAATTTTAGTTCAAAAGTCGATTATGTTCAGTCTGATTGTGGGATGAACCATAGTACCAGATAAATACAAATCCAGTAGTAAAACAATACAACTCTCAAAGTTGTAGGAGGTTAGATACTTTCAACAAGTAGATCTCATCCAACTTTAAAGGCTCCCGTCAAATGAGGCAAACTGTATCCCAATAAAAACACTCTCTCGACTCTTGTCAAACAGTTTTCACTACCAGAGGGAATGGTGATACATAGTTCCCAAAAAGTAAGAAGTGATAACAAATTCTTTGTTCACTCACTTGAGCAAAATCACACACAAAAATCAGCCCCACGAAGTCCACCACAGATGGAGCTTCTTGTGGGCTCTGTAATCCACATCTGAGGTAGATTGACTTGATGTCAATATGCTTCATCAAAACTTATAAGGTAGCCAGCAGTCATGTGTAGCTGAGAAGCTGAATCAATCAACTGCAAGCAAGACCTGCAAACAATGTTTGTGTTGACTTGTAACGGCTTATTAGTTACAACAATGAAGTCTTCAACTGTTCTGTTGATAACTGGACGGAGTATGCACGGACCACAGCTAGGAAGTTAGAGGTCGTTAGTAATCACGAAGCACAATTTATCATTGCAATTTTTAGCAAAACTTAATCGTCTTGTGCCAGGAGCATTAGGGACGCAAGAAAATCACATAGGGAAAATTTAAGAACCAAAAAACAAAAAGGACATTTTAGCAAGTCCCAGTTTCGATCTGGGGACCTCCGGGTTATGAGCCCGGCGCGCTTCCACTGCGCCAACTTGCTTGTTGCTTGTTGCTTGATTGATGGATGTGGGCACGCGTTTTAAAAATATAAACCAATTTCTAGTTCCAAAATCATAGCCCTGCATTACCGATTATCCACCGATTGTTATACATAGCTAGGTAATCTTTGATATCCAAATTAATCTCGCATCCTCTAAAATATATCAAACTTGGAACCTGTTGTTGCTCAAAATGCAATTAGACGTCAAGCTATTACAGCATTCTCTCTTTCCTTATCGATCGCTAAACATTGTCTAAGATACCTTGGACATTGTATACTTCGCCGAGAGCATGATACTCTTTTTGAGTATCTCATGAGTCTCTACTAACCAGAGACAAACCACAGAATGGAATAATCACATCATAATATAACCATATTTCAACTACACAATTAGATACCTACCTTGTTCACGCCTGCACAACCATGGCACCACCAGCACTAACAATACGCAATCTCTCTACGACTCCACTCGAATTAAAATCACTGGAACGATTTGAATCTGCAGAAGGGAAAGCTAGCGGGGTAAATATCACCAGAATAACCAGAAGTCTTACTGGGTTCATGTACCTTAACAGCACTCCAACCTCACCACAATTAGCAGAGAAAGCCGAAAGCTTCAGTCGTCAGGATGTTTCAATATCAATTGCTCCATTTGAAACCAAAGCTACAGATATAGAACCCCAAGGAAACCAAGTCCTGCGACTAACATTCGAGACAAATGGCGAACGATATCGAATTGATACCCCAACCCCCTTGCATCGCTCAACCATTCTCACACCTCTCTCGCACAATCCCACCTACGAATTTACGGGAGTGTATCTACCCAAACACCATTTCCTCGCCATCTTCTCCTCAGCTAAATTATCATCATGGATGTCCAATCTCAGCGACGAAACTCCCTTAGCCGCTCTCAGTATACCCGGTACACATAATTCCCCAACGTACCACGCCGCATTACCTTCCGTACGCTGTCAAGCTGTCAGTGTCAAGGAGCAACTCAATAATGGTATTCGTTTCCTCGATATACGAGTGCAACCACAGGATCCCAATGATCCTGCTGCAGAGGGTCTAATTCTCGTTCACAGCGCTTTTCCAGTTTCCCTTACAGGCCACAAATACTTTCGCGATTTGGTCAACCATGTGAAAGTATTTCTGGATGCGAATCCTACAGAAACAGTTATAATGTCTGTAAAAAGAGAAGGTGTGGGAAAAGCTACGGATCAACAACTGAGTCAAATCCTTAACCATCATTATACTCAGGATTCTACTCGCTGGTTCACAGGTAATCGCATTCCAGCTCTGGGAGAAGTTCGCGGGAAGATTGTTGTTATACGTCGCTTCGGCCTAGATGACTCCTTGAAAGGTGAGAACAATGGAACAGGTCTCTATATCGACGCAGAAAGTTGGCCAGACAACTGTGCAGATGGTGTATGTACTAGTGGAGAAATCCGAGTACAAGACTTCTACGAGGTTGCGGAGTCTTCAAATATCGAGAAGAAGATTGGATATTCCACAGATCAGCTCGAAAGAGCTGCTAAAACTGTTGCTGTGCTGCCTGAAGATATGGATGTTGCTAGCACTGAATCGGCAAAACAACCATTCTTTATGAATTTCTTGAGTGCCTCAAACTTTTGGAGAGCGAACTGTTGGCCAGACAAGATTGCAGAAAAGGTTAATCCCGTGATCGTTGATTATCTATGCAGAAGGCATAGTGAAACAACGTCCAGTGAGCAACCAGATAGTGCAAGTATAGGTGATGGTAGTACAGGAATTGTGGTTTGTGATTGGGTCGGAACAGATGGGGACTGGGACTTGGTGAGGTGTATCTTGGCAATGAATGCAAAGCTGGAGCTTAGAGAGAGAGATCGTCCTTCAGATCCCCCTTCATAGATGGGAAATAGACCAGAAATGGTTATGATTTCAAGATTTACGATGCAAATGGTCCATAGAACAATAATCCGTTTTTACAGATATAATACATTCCGTTACATGCTTATCCATTATTTGATTGGATTTACTCCTTAGGGGTTTCTTCAAAAGGTCCCTTTGCCTCATCTTTCAGCATCGACCTTCTACCTTCAATGGTGAAGTATAGACTCTTTCCAGCGCTCTCCAAAGTATTTGTAATTCCACCTCCAATACCTTGTAACATAGCCACCAA